TGGGATGAGGGCCATTGCCCAGAGCTTCCCTCTAGCCCTATCAACAACCTGCCATTCACCCTTTACTTTCTCTGCAACTGCCAGAGTGGCAGGCAAAGGCTTTCAGTCTCGGCTGTTGGCATACCCATTACAGGTGAGACACTACTCGAGAGTAATTTGTATTTACTCACCCCCACCTCCCCAGGTCAGGTTGTGACACAAGGTCAGTTTAATGTGGGGAGCCCGAGCATGTACACCCAGGCTAGGAACAAAAATTGCCTGAACCCCCACGACCGTCAGTTGTACTGGCTTTGGTGTGAGCACTGATCCCTCTCTCTAATGCAATGAGAATGCGTAGACTCGGGCAGCTGTTCCCCAGGACTGACACCTCTCTTTATAATTTTCCTCAGTTGCGATTCTGTCCTTTGACGGAGCCATCCCTGAGCGCACTCTGCTCAAAAACAGAGACTCAACCGAGATTGGGTATTACAAACTACTCAAGAGAACAGAGATTTACTTGACACCCCAACTTATTCAGGTTGTGACACAAGGTCAGTTTTTAACATGGGGACCCAAGTGTCTTAACTCTGGCTGCTGGTCATAGCTTGTCTAAGCTAGTGATAACCTTGGTAAGATTATTTATTTCGTAAAAAATACAAAATTATGGCACAAGGCTGAAGGGGAAATGGGGAGAGGCCGATCTTCATTAGGTATCCTAGTTAATCACAATGACAACCCATTCATTCATTACAATTTGTCCATTCACCGCAAATGCTCATCCATCACCACTTAATCCAGCATATACCAAAATACCGCATATTCACTGGGGACCTAGAAAACATCCCATGATGTAAAAATTTGAATCCATTACATTGTCCATAAAGTTCATTTGTAATAAAATTCCATGATTATTAAATGATGGGATGGGAAGATAACCCTGGTAAGTATCAATGTGTTACAAACTACTCGAAAGAGCAATTTACGTGCTAAAAGCTGTATTATATATATTATGTAATTCTAGACAGTATCACTCATCAGGTTTAAGCAATTTGCATATTGATTTTAAAAAAGTTTTTTTTATTAATTAACTGTTCTTCATTACTGTTCTTTTATTCAAGGATTGTTTTGATTTTCATTTCAAAAATAGTTCTGTTTAGGAATATCGTCTTGTATAGTGCAGCAAAGTGTTTGAAATTTGCATTTTACTTGGCCTTCATTTGGCATCTATTTGTAAAAATTTCCTTAACTATAACAAGCCAATTTATGAATGAAATGTTGATTTCAAGTAGTGAATATATCTTACTTTATGAGGTGGTATCGAGTGGGCAAAGCCTGCATATATATATATATATATATATATATAGTTCACTGCCAAGAAGGCAATGGCACTACTGGGAGTGAAAAAGAATATAAAAGACTTTAGAAACAATCGGAAACAGAAAACAAAGGATAAATCTCTGCTTCTGTTCAAAAGACCACAGAGGAGTGTGAACTGGGGGATATATATATATATATATATATATATATATATATATATATATATATATATATATGTGTGTGTGTTGTGTGTTCCCTACTCTGAGTTTAGTGGAGGTTACATCCATTTATCATTTATTTAAAAAATTTTTTTAATGAAATCCTCTTATGAATGGATGTAATCTTTGCAAAACTTGGAGTAGGGACAAATAAGGGAACATTTAAATCTTTTTGTTACTATTAATGTTCTCTCTTGATATTGAGCACCTTAATTATGAAGATGGCTTACTTTAAAAATGTAGTCTTTCAGAAATGGGCAGATTGACCACCACCCATTTTTAAACACCATCTTTGTTATTGTTATATATAAACTATTTTAAATATTTTGATTTAAATATTCTGTAAAAAAAAAAAAAAAAATTAAAATTGATAGATTATCACAGGGACAAGAAAAGAGTCAAAACAATATTGTTTGTTAATTCATCTTACCATATGAGTGTGCCCAAAGTTCTTAACATAGATAACTACATGAGAGGCTACTGAAAAGTTCTCAGCCTGGCCCAAAAGGCATTAAAAAAAATGTTGTTTGGTTAGATTTTGAGAAGTTGGTTGAGCTGAGAACTTTTTAGCACCTCCTCATATAAGCAATCATTAATTATTGATAGAAGTAAAAAAGATTTCTGATGCAAGCCTGATTTCCATTATTGACTTAGAGAGTATGAATGGAAAATACACATGATTGATAGTTCCCATTTTCATGTCAACAAAGACATATCAAGTATTCAATAATCAGTTAATATCAGTGTGTTGCTCACAAGAAAGAAAATCAATCCTTTGTTGATTTGCATCAGCTTCAATTGCTATTTTCAATTGATTCATGTTACAGAACAAGACAGAATCAACAGATGTAATTTTACATTTGATTAAAAAAAAATATATCCTTGTATACCTTATGAGCCCAGAAAACCAACCCTATGGACAAAGTATTCTAGAAAATTATCTCAGGCTGCAAAATAAACAAAATACAATAATGTATAAAGTACATTTTTCATTAATACTTTTTGCAAAAGGCATGATTTTATCACTTCTCTTTCTTCTTTTAACATACCATGTCCTTCCTGGACAATCATGGTTCTCCCTAACTTCCTATCCTTTGTAGCTCTAAGCAATGTTTGTCCTTTTACTATCCTTCCCAGTCTCAGTTATGGTTAAATAGCAGGGTAACCTGGCCCTTTTCTCTCCCCCTTGCTACTTTTTGTGTTATAGTTGGTCTAGGACAACTGTGAATTAAAAACTGTAACAGGAAACCACTCCAATATCTTTTCCAAGAAGACTTAACATGAATCATAACTTAATGAAACAGAAAAACACTAAAATAAGGGTAATTCAAAAGGATGTTTATTTATACCTTTTTATAGTAATAATATGGTACAAAATTCATATTTTTAGCTTTATACTTTCAGTTCAGTGAAAAATGTAATTCTGAAGACAATATATTTAAAGAGCTAGTATTTTTTTTTTTTTTTTTTTTTTTTTTAGAATAAAAACTAGGACCATTTCTTACAAGATGAAATCTTTATGCTCCAGAATGTAAAAATACAGAACAGCAGCTGTTTGGTAGGAATATATTTGGAATTGTGGAGGGGGCACTATACAAGAAGATTGCTTCTTGAAATGTAGGTTATGGTGACTTTTTTTAGGCTTGCTGCCAAGTATTGACTTGAACATGGCCTTAACACCCTGCCTGATTTTGTTAAATATTTTTCCACTCTAGTGCCAGATATCATTTGCCTTTCATCTGGAAGTCTAAAAAAAAATTATATTCATCATTGATTTCACTGTAAAATTACTTCACCCAAAAATAAATTTTAGGCTTTAATTTGATCTTTTCATTACTTGTTTGAGGAAGTAAGTTGTCTTTTTGTTTTACTTTTTCCAGATTTCTGTAAGATTTATGAACCTCTGATAAAATTGTTTAAAATGAATTACTCAAAGCTTTAGTTTATGTATTCAATCCCCAAATTTTAAAGGTCCATCATCATTATTAAAATTAAACAATGGCTTTTAATGCCCTCAAAAATTTTCTCTCTTAATCATCTAAAAGAACCTTTTTTTTTTTTTTTTTCTTAAACACTTTTTATCAGCAGGCCGAATGCTAACCTCAAAGTTAATGACTCCTTGGGCTAACATTTTCTACTGACATGAAATGAAAAGAATATATTCAATTAGTTGCTAGGTCTGCTGCTGGGAAAGTTGGTTCACTGTATCGTGCTAGACAATCTTTCTCATCAGAATCTTACATATTTATGTCAACCATTCATCCATGGATTGAATATTGCTGCCACGTTTGGTCTGATTCTTCTGCTATGTATTTAGAGATTCTTGGAGATAAAATACAAAGAGGAATCTGCTATGTTATTCTTCCTGACACCTCCGCTTCAATCACTTTCTCACTGGCATAACATAGTTTCCTATGCCTTTTCTCTAAATATTTTCATGGCAATTGTTTTAATGTGCTGTCCTCTTTATGACTTTATGAATCTGTGAAAAAACTGTGGAATTATAGATGACAAAATGGCCTTGAAAGAAGCAGTCACATGTGTTTGAGGATGATTTCAGAAAAAGAAGAAAATACAAATATGAATAACTACGAAGAAAAAGTTATGAGAAAAGAAATTAAGATTATTATAGAGCTATTGAGTTTTAGTGCTGACTAGTAATTTCCCTACATCTTCATTTTTAGTTGCTTTTTAAAATGAAAGAAAATTACTTATAAAAATTAATAATGGTTGACCATGTTTCATCTATAAATAAAATAGTAAAACCAACCTAAAATTGTGCCTGTGTAAATATGTTTCTTGTAAAATATTAATTGGATAGGACTAACCAACAGTTAAATGCCTACTATGATAAATGTAGCATTAGCAGTCAGAACCTGGCCGTTACTTGGATTTAGACATCAATTGGCAGTGCCAAAGGCAAAATCACTATAGATCTAGTATAAATCTATAGTGCTTTTATTTATAACTAGTTTACCCACGATTAAAGATTATAATATTTTAAATATTCTTTTTCTAATTATTATTGTTGTACTCTGCTCTTCCATACATTTTCCCTTCTTTGCTTTGAAAGCATTTTGGAACAATCTGTTATTGTCATAAAGACACTGACAGCTGGTGCTCCTAGTGCAAGAGAAATAACTATCACTTGGTCAGGACATTTCATTACAGATATTACAGACAAAAATAACTTAGCATGGTTAGCATTTCAACCATTTCTACTTTTCTCTAAGTAATTTGTGTGTGTGTGGAGAGAGGAAAAAAAAATAAAACAGTGTTCCTCCTCCCAATAACATTGGTCATGTCCCCAGCTGGATGTATATCTCTTCCCCATGTGTTTAATTATATGAGCAAGTCTTATGAGTATGTCTAATAACTTGGAGATTTGGAAAAACCTTGCTGTGAACAATAGTTATAGCTTTGATAAAATTCAAATGTTGCCATTTTTATTATGTATAATTTTCTTCATTTCAGAACATTGAACCAATGCTAACCAGTACACCAGAACATTCGCTACTTGAGTCTGTGCATGCCCGGTTTGAGCAAAATCACCAGGAAGCTTCAAGACGAGTTAGTATTTTTTTTAATCACCAAATTTAAAGTTATTGCCGAAAAAAGCCACTCCTATTAATGGTCACATTCTTTTATTTTTAAATTTGCAAATTAGAAAATACTTGGCTACTTTATCTGTTATCAATTTTTTGCTTCTCAAATCCTGCTAATATTCAGTTATTTTATAAAAATCAGAAACCTAGTTGGCTTGATTACTACTCATCCTTTTCATGAGTCATTGCTTTCTAAGATTAATCCATTGAATGTATACATGTAAATGGACATTTTTATTGATAAATGATTGATTGTATAATCTCTCATGTGCCCCTTCATGACTCAACTGTTCACAACAGGCTTTGATTGTTTGATCGATTCACTTATACAATAACATTGCAACATATGTTTGACTATCTTTTAACTTTATGCTTTTGCTAACTTTTCTGAAAATAGGAAATAGAAACAAGAGATTTATTAAAAAAAAAATAAAAAACCTACAATACATACCTTTAGATGTATATTCTATTTTAACTGAATAATTATCTAAAGTTAACCTTTCAACTTAGATATATAGACTTCTAATTTTACATCTGTATTTTCTTGTATAGCCTTTTAGATACTACTAAAAAACTAAAAACAAACAAAAACTAAATAAAAAACATAAGTGTAATGAATTAATCCAAATTAGTAAATAATAAACAAATAACAAAGCAATCACTAATAAAGTTAACAAACAGTACTCTAAAATAGCATTTGGATCTGCAATTATTTCAATAATCCCTATAATAATTTGAAGCCTATCCATTACTGCCTGCCCAATAACTCTTAGAATAATAAAATAGATCTACCTATTATGCACCACTGAGTAGCATATATAAATAGTCTAGCCAAAACAAGAGGCACATGGCCTGACAATTGCGTTTAAGCATGAAACACTGTTATCACTGTGTGTTGGGCATTAAATATTTTCATGGTAATTGTTCTTATGAGTTTTCCTCTTTAGTAGCTCAACTTTACGAATTTAAGCACAGTACTAGATTGACACCTAGGTTTGATTATTTTACAGTTGAAATAGCTAGATGTAACTAAGTTCTATGATAATTTTTTTTTCTTTCACACTTCCCACTATAGAACTTTTTTCCGGCCTCTTGCTTCCCAGTCAATCTTGATCTTCAAAAATTTAAATTCAATGTCATTCATTACTTTCTGTCTTCGTTTTTTATTGTTCTCTCTGCTTAATAATTTTGTTCTTTCTCATATTCTTTCACACTCAATAACCACTTGTGTCTTAGTGGTTTTATCACCTTGCTTGGGGTGAAATGATTAAAAAAAAAATACTATAAAAAAAGAATGTCAACGTTGATTACTTTCCTTTATACAGAGATTCACTGATTACTTCCCTTTACTCTGAATCTGTGCTTTAAATGCTAAGATGGATATCCCTTTTCAGGCAGAAAATGATTTTATTTGAATATTAAGCAATCTAATTATACAAGCAATCCATAAACAATCACTTTGTTAGAAAGATAACAAAGACTATATTTGAAATAAATAGGAAAATGGAAAATTTGACAAGATATAGGATACCTGCTGGTAATAGATATAAATAATAAAATTATATTTATTTCATGTTAGTTTTATGTAATATTTGCATACATGAGCGTACTCTCACAATAAAGAACAAATAGGAAATGATTATGACTTTAACATGTTTCACTTTTATTTAAGCATCATCAGAAATTTTTGGAAATGTGCTGTGGAAAAGATTGTTCAGGTACATTTGAGTTCTGTATTTGTTTTTCATTGGTCAGGTAGATCTCGTGTTTGTTTTGTGGTGTTTGTGCATCAATCTATATGCAAGTAGGCATTTTTGTGCCTTTCTGGTAATATTTGTGTTTAGTTTCTGAAGATAGTAGTGGGAGGAAAATGGGAAATGTGTGCCTGGATGTATTAAATTTCTAATTGGTTTTGTTGGAGTTGGTGGTGTCAGTATTTGTTTTGACTGTTGATTTTTATATATATATATATATATATATATATATAAATTTTATGTTTGAGGAAAAATTTGTGTATCTGGTGGGCATGTGTTGGTTTAATTCTATCATAGATATTATTATTATATATGACTTTTGAGTTTATTGGGAGATATTTGGTGTGTTGGAGTGAAAAATTTAAGTTACGTCATTCACAGGTATGTGGATCATACATTCTTTACGTATAAATTTTATGAATGTTGGCGATATGAAAAAGTGTGTCTGGTGTGTTTATCGATGAAAGGATATAATTAATATTCTTTCTAAATATTTTTTTTATAATGTAGCATGTTCTTTTATTATAAGTGTGGTATTTTTCAAACTAAAGTTATGGCCTGTTTTATTTGTGTGTGTGTTATAAAAAGAGTTTGATGGGTTGTCCCAACAGCAGTCTCTGTTGTGTTCATAGACCTAGGCTTTTAGGTTTTCTGTAAGTTTTGTCTATATAGCTCTTACAGTATTGCAGGTATTTAATGTTATATATACTGGCATCTGAGGTGGTGTTGGTTCTATGTTTTCTGCCAATTAGATCTGATTGCCTAGAAGGTGGTGGATAGGATCCAAGTATCAGGGATGGTTAGATAGTTGATAGAAAGTTGAAGGATAGGATCTCTCTCACACACACACACGCACTTTATATAAATTTAATTTTAAGAGTTTCAAGCATATACATACTTTGAGCTTTATATATTAAATTTTTAACTAGTACTAGACTACTAAACCCATAAACTTTTTGGTTCCTTTTAAAAGCAGTTCATGATACAAATGATGAGGTAACAATATTATCAATTTTATTATTAATTACACATATTTTAATTTGTATTTTCAATACAAGTTATTGTACTAATTATTACTCACATTATACAATATTACTTAGATGAAACATAATAATAAATTAAATTTTTTTTCTTCTTTGTAATTGTCATTTTAATTTCAATAATTATATTTAAGCTGCCTATAATATTTTGTCAAATATTTGAATTGGCGTATTTAGTAATTAGACAAACAATAGTGTGTTTGCTTTACATTATTTTCTTACTGAAATTCAGCTGGAAATTCAGTGATAGACGTTAAGTTATCAAACAGACTTTCAGAATGAATAATAAATTAACAATACCAGAATAACATAGATCTGTCATTGTTTGAGTACAATAACCTAGTTTTAATTTGAAACATCCCTTTTATGCAAACATTGCTCTGCAGGAAAGAGTTTTTTCTTTTTCCTTCAGAATGGAATTGCAATCTGATGAACATAATATACAAGTGTTTGTTTATATACACAGATTGATATAAGAATGTGTATTGAAAGCAAATACTGAATTTCCTATTAAAAATAGCTCAAGAACTCCTTGTCTAATTTTAATGAAATTTGGCACTATACTCGACCAGGATTCAAGGTACAATATGCTCCTAAATTGGTTGGGATATTATATATCATTTAAGCTGTATCTTGGAAACCTGTATACATCCATCCATACAAGATTAAACTTTTAGATTTCTTTCATCTTAATTTGAGTTGCTATTGTCACAATTACTTAGACATAGTATGGCTACATAGTATGAAACACAGGTTCTTGTACAATCACCAAAGTTAAGCAACATTGAACCTGGTTAGTACCTTAATGGTTGACCACTTGAGAATATCAGGTGCTGTAAGCTTGCATGTGCAAGTGGTATAATGGATAATTACTCAGAATGATTAATTAAAGAACCAAGTTCCAATTTCACTAAACTAAAACAAAACAATGTTAGTAGGACCCATCCACCCCTCAAAAGTGGCTGCTGTAATCTGCCAATAGACAGATCCCAAAAGCACACTCACTAATGGAGTGGGGAAGGTAAAAAAAATAAATGACGGAATGGGAAAATCAAAGGTTGACCCACTCAAGATGAAAAATGGGGGACAAAAACAAACTGGGGAGGTTGGGAATATCAACATGGGCCATAACAAAAGACAATGCCAGGAACAACACTTATTCACATTAACTAGGAAAACATAACCAGGGGAGGGTTCACAGGAAACCACCCCATTGCATCAAGGGGACTTAAAAGAGAAAATCAAAGCTAGTCCCGTCCACACAAACCAGGCTTGCCACAGTCACCCACCTTTTGTTGAAATCAAAACGCTTTCTATCAGATCTGATTTTTACCCTAAGCTGATGCTTAAAGAAAACAACCAGATCCTAATGTAAATAACATTCGTCTCACAAGATTCTCTCCTTTCACAATGTCCACACCACCATTCTTGCCACAGCTAGCAATGTAAAAAAAAATACCATTCGTTTTACCCTGGGGAATGAGGGGGCGACACATTGTCATACGTGTACATGAAATTGATGGACACTAGCAGATTGGGAGTGATACAAGCCATTAACTCGCCAACATAATCCCAGAAGAGGTGCACCTAAGGACAATGGTAGAAGGCATGCGAAGCTGTTTCCTCTAAGCTAAGATCAACCTGATGGCAGTCTGGCAAATCTGCCTCACCCATCTGAGAGGTAGCATGTTTCAAATCAATCACCAGTTAAGCGAAAACTCTGAGTTTTCAGAGAAAGTTGCTGAGATAATCCACCATTGGCACCCAAGACCAAAAAGAGTGCAACTCTGATGCTGACAAACCAAGCTGGTCATATAGGGAATACTTTGCAACCCCCTCCACTAATTCACAATACAATATTCTCCAAGGCTGAAAAAGGTCACTGGATTGCCAACACCTGTTAAATGTTATTTAGTTTCACCATGTTTCATTTGTTTAAAAATGGCTAAAATTCTAATGTTTCAATTAATTTTCAGATGTAATTTTGCACTGTGACTGAATATAAAGAACAAAGATGTTTAATATAAATACATTTTTTTATTTGTTTAAAGCCTCTTTAAGGCAGTAGAAAATAGTTTTCATAATTTTTTGTTCATTATATGGTTACTTGCAAATCTGTATCTCATCATTGAGCTTAAAGCAGCTGACCTTGCACTTCTCTTTTAATCCAGGGGATAATCACAGAATTGATCTATTTGAAATGCATAAAAATACTTCTAAATCTGTTTACCTTCAGTACATGATGATGTGATTTGTCTAGTATTGACCAGCCAATTGTTAATAATTGACTGCAATATTCAGATACTTGTAAAATCTAAAAACTATTTAATATAAATAGGCTTTAGTAATGTATCTTTTCTGTTAAAAATGATTTTAACAAATTATAATGGGAGATGGTAATTTCCTTGAATCCCAAGCTCTAAGTTGATTTTTATACCCTATTGCTATTTGTAAGTTCATACTGTTTCCATATAGTATGGATGTCTGTAGTTCAAATATTAATATTATTTTATTCAAGATGTTGGTTCTTTCAACCATTTAATATGCTAGATTCAAATTCAAACTTGTAAATGTTACATGATAACTGTCCTTTCATTAATTCTGAGATTAATTTGGGTGTGTTCTTATTGCGGGGAAAAAATTGTAAATTCAGCTTTAATCAGAACATGATGAAAAATTGTTTTTGTTATTGTTTTATAGTTTTCTTTTCATTTTTTTTTTTAAATCATTTGTCTTTTATAGTTTTTATCTGATGAAGAAACTTTAAGAATTTGTTTCATGCTTTTTTATTTTGTATACTTTCTCAGTTCTCTTGTTGCCTGTAATAAATGTTATGCTTCTGTTTTTATTTTTTGTCAGATTTCAGCCTTGAAAAGTCGTAGATTATTTGAAATAGCCCATAGAAAACATTTGATAAAGAATGTAATTGTTCCTACAAATAACACAGTATCGAGTAACTCTCAAACAGCTATTGACAACGGTGAGTATTTAATGCCAAATTGGAATGACTCAAATGTAGAGGTAATAATAAAAACTTTTGAAGTCATTTAATATGGCATGTGATTGATACAGTCATTAATTTGATAAGAGTGCTGAAAAGTTCTCAGCACAACCTGCTTCCCAGAGTCTGACCAAGTGACTAATCATAATTTTTTTTTCATCTTGGCTGGGCTGAGAACTTTTCAGGATCCACACATAATTCTTTCATAGATATCTTTTTATAATTCTTGTGTGTGTGTAATATATATATATAAAATGCATTTGATGTATAATTCATAAAAGTTTCATAAAAGTTGATTTAATTAAAATAGTTTCAATCATAATAAAATCTTAAGTTTTTCTATAACTACAAATATATAATAAATCTTAGTCTTGCAATGTACAATTTGTCATTGCATAATCTGTGCAATTTACAATTGTATTGGTGTGTCAGAAAATTATGCCTCTCTGAAATTTCTTAGCAATATAATGTTTGTATAAACCAGCTAAAATCCAAGATCTGATACTGTATTAAATATTGATCAGTTTTACTTATTTACTAGAATGTTAATATGGATAAAATGATTGGTTTGATCCAAACTCATGAAAAGTATTAAATGTTTTTTCCTATTATTTTTTTAATTTTTTTATTGTTGACTTTTACTATCAATCTTAAAAAGAATTTATTTCAAACTTGATCAATTCTGTTACTTGTCAAGTTTATTTTATGAATGAATCTGTATTCAGTTTTTTCTTTCTTGGCCATTTTTAATTTTTCAAATAAATTAATTTTGATAACCAAATATTTAATTATTTGTGAATTCATTTATTTTAATACTTCCAGAAAACCTAAATAAAATACTCACCAATGACTACCACAATGCAAAAAGGAAATTCATGGATTCTCCTTCAAATAATGCAAAGAGATTATGTGCTTCCACCTCTTTACGTCATAATATGGATGCCAGCCCATTGTATATCTCAGATTCTTTGGCTTGCCCCAGTTCTGGTTTTTCCCTTTCTGAAGAGAGTTGTTGCCCAGTTATAGGTTGTGGAATAAAAATGTCTTCAGAAGAAAATCTTGAATTTCATATGTCGTCTCTTATGCACACTCCTTGTAACCCCTTCCAGAACATTCTTGATTCATCTTTGCCTGATACTGTGATTTTTTACCTCTGCCCCAAATGTGGACAGCAGTTCAAGGTTTGTTTGGATTTCTGTTTAAAATTTTAAAATTTCTCCTGAAATTATTTACTAGTAAAAAGTGTCTTCATAAAAAAAAAAAAAAAAGTAAGAAACACATTGAAGGTTATTTCAGATTAGTTATAAAAATTTATTAAATTTTAATTTCAAATTCCGTAATATAAATAACTAATACAAATACCTTAAGTTATTGAATGTAGGGAAATATTTATTTAAAAATAACTCATTAATTTTAAATTTAAATTTTATTTTAAATTTTAATTTTATTTTAAATTTTGTTTAAAATTAGAGCTTTGTATAAAATTACATTTTTTAGTGCAAAGGAAGCTGATCTTTATTATAATTTAATTTATTCTTTGTTGCTCAAAAGAAGTAAAATATAACTTTTATTACCGAATAATTTCCCAACCATCAGCGAATTATTAGATTTATACAATGTTTTTATATTTTTTCTTTTATATTGATTCATTTTACAATAGTTATATTCTTTTTTTTAATTTTAAAATATATTGTAATATTTTAAATATATTTGAAATTCTAATTGTATAAAATTTGTTGTAAAAATACTTTTACATATTAAGCAGGTTTTAGATTGTTTTTAAATTAATACTTTGTCATTGATTGTTTTTGCTGTGCTGTTTTCTTGAAATTAAACTTTTTAAAGATATTTAAATTATTTTGCTGTTTTAAAATTAAAAATGTTTATGAGGATATCTATTTTACAGTGTATATCTAAATAAAACTGTTTTATTATGAAGAAAATTTTTTTTTTTTTTTTTTTTTTTAGCAGGCCTACAAAATAATACTATTACTATTTTTTATATTTGGCATATGCAGTATTTCAACATCCCCAACTAAGATGACAGAAATGCAGATATATGCAAATATCTATTAAGCATTAAATATATTTTCAAATATAAAATCTTGTATGTACTGTTTGTTTTTTGGTTTATGCTTTTTATATCGAAAAATTTTTAAGTAATAATCATAACACTTCTGTTACTGTTGATGTACTTGTCTTTAAGTAACTTGCCTGCTATCGATGTATTTATACATTTTTCAAGATACCCTGAAATGTTGGTCCCTAGCATTCATGTTAAAAATTAACTAGTGCTTATTGCTATTCCCAAACCAAATCAAGTAAATACTATAGCCTGTTTTGTTACACACTTATTATAATTCATGTTTGGGGTGTTTAGCTTAGTGTTTACTGCAGAGTATCTAATCAAAACCAAACTGTCAGCATTCATGAAACCTTTTTGTCAGCATCTTTAGACATTTATTTCCAGGAAATGGGACACCATAGCCAGACAATAATACTCAGTGAAAATATTAATAATTTTGTGGATATTTAGAAAATTATTTTTAACATTGGTCATTTCTGAGCTTGACACAAAATGTCTGAAATGTTTGCATCCACAAATTAAGTTACTGATAGGTTTCTGCTCTTTGTCATATAAAAAACAGATTTGTAACTGCATTCTTTTTTCTAATTTCTTTTTTTTTTAAATTTCTATTGTTTTTTTTGTTTTTTTTTAAATTTCTCTTTTTTTTTTTAATTCCTCTTTTTTTTTTAATTCCTCTTTTTTTTTTTTAATTTCTCTTTTTTTTTTTTAATTTTCTCTTTTTTTTAATTTCTCTTTTTTTTTATTTTTTTTTTTTATTTCTTTTTTTTTTTTTTTTTAATTTCTTTTAAATTTCTCTTTATTAACCAATCAAGATGTATAAGAAACGCTGAAAAGTTCCTGGCCTTGCCAAGAAACTTACTCCCTAGCACTCTGCCCCAAATAAATAAATAGCTGTTGTTTACTAATTTACTTAGTTTGCTGTCTCATAAATATAATTTCTGAGCTCTTTAGGACCAATTTCCACACTAAAAATAATTCTGGACCTCATTTATTAACTGGTTATAAAATTAAGCATCTGAAAAATTAATCACTGTTGCTATGACACATGATCATACAAATGAAAACATTATCTAAAGAAGCTAAAATGGTCTGTTGAGATTAAACACTTACACTTCATCCATTTTGTCAATTTTTAGGATATAAAAATCTGTTATGAACATCAGGAGAGAGAATTACACAATGAATTCATTAAACCTATTGCAGTATCAAGTTTCCTGTGTCCACTTTGCCTTCAGGTCTTTCCAACAGAATCTTCTTGTATTGAACATATGCATGTATTTCAACATTTGTCATATCATTATGGCTTCTCAAGTAAGAAAGCTTTTATTTATTATACTTTTTCCTTTGATCCGTCAATGTTAAATTTGAATTCATTTTATTATTTTTTATTTCATTAGTTATTTTCAACAAATATGATCTTCAAATCACAGTTGTTCAAACTATTTAAGTTCTCTTTATGTTGACAATCCAAGCATGTCATGAAATAATGTCTTTAATAAATATAGAAACATGATTCTTTATTGCATATATATTTTTTAAACATTTCTTATATTGTCAACCTTAACCTTTTCTTTATAATTGGTATATATAGACAAAGACATTGTCAGTATTAAGCTGTTCAGAAAGTAAAGTCAAATTTTTGGAGAACAAATAAAAACACATTCAAATTTGTAATAAAAGTAAAATTTGTCAAGAAAATAGTTTCTATTATTAGCAATGGTAAATCCTACAATAAAACTAATTTTATTCCTCTCAGAAAAAAAAATATTCTGGATGAAAAACATTTCAACATCTAAAACAATTTTCAATCTGGTAAGGTCTTGGGGATCAGTTAGTGAAATATGTCTACATCTATTACAATCACTTGGCAATCACAGCAAATCCTTATTGAGAATAAAGTGCAGATTTATGTGAAAAGCACCCTGATTTGATCAACAGAATGTTTCCTCCTTGAGAACGACACTTCAAGTTCACACCCAGTAAAATAATTAGAAGATGAAGTTGTTAGATTGGGAGGATCTATTCAGCATATTCACTGCATTTAACATTGTCAAATGGGTTCATTGAAAGTTTTTTTTCTTTTTTTTATCATCAAAACTTAAACATAGGGAAAAGATGAATTCAACATTAAGATAATTCTTTTCATCCAAAATCAGAGCTTCTTCCAAAAATGAATAAAAGAATTAATTTCAGTGTCTTTCCAAAAATGATGCTATATCAATTTTGAGCCATCTAATAAATCATAAAAAATTATTATTAAATTTGTTTATTTTTTTATTTTAGATGACAAGAATGGAATAAACTGCAAACCAATTCCATTACCAAAACATCTTGCCTTAGATTTCAAGAGCAAATGTGATAAAGTTAATTCCTGGATGACATGTGTTGATTGTAATTTAAAACTTACTGATGCTGAAGCCATCCTTAATCATCATGGACAAAACCATCTTTTATCTTGTGTTGCAGATAAAAAACCAGTAAGAACTTACATGTCTATTTGAGTGGGAGTTTGTTTGTTGCTCTGTCATCTGACAGATTTGTCTTATTGTTTTGATGTCAGTCTTACCTTCTTCACTTTGGTTATACTCTATATCTAACCAATTTCACTGTATAAAATTATATTTCTTACTTAAACTCTAGTTTAGCCATACCATTAAAAATAATGACATGTTTGAATAATTTTACTATTGTGTTGTACTTATATCATATCAGAAACTTTGTAGCTCTGCAGTTTTTTGTTTATGTTCAATACTTACTTTTAGTTTCATTTAATATTTATTAAGTTTGGTCTCCTCTCCATGCTATAAATGGAAACTATTTATAATATAAATATGTAATTAAACAGTTTTACTTTAAAAGTGTACTAATTTACAGAACCAACCAAAAATTAAGAGTTGCTTTAACACAGTAGTCCTCTTAGAAACATGTAACATTTTTATGTCAGCAGAAGATTCTTCCATCGCTGTCATGGGCTTTTCTAGTTGTGTAGAAAAGTTTTCAACGTGCGCGCGCACACACACACACACACAGAGGAATGCTGAAAAGTTTGCAGTTTGACCAAGAATGGCTCTCTCCCAACTCCTGCCCAGATTCTGATGTTTACTCATTTGGTCAGATTTTGGGAAGTAGATTTTCATTTTTGTGGGATAAAATGACAGATACAAAATATTCAAATAAAGTATGTAAGATGGAATATGTAAAAACCAGTTGAATGTTTAAATTTATTATTATTGCCAGCATTTCATTCAATAAGAATATCATTGGAACTGAAAAGTGTGTGTATATCAGCAATATAAGATAATATCAATGGAAAAGGTAGAATTCCTTGCTTTGTCTGATTTCATCAGAGAATCCGTTATAGTAATAACATTATCTTGGTTTATTTTCTTTATTAAATGATTTATTATCAACTATTGTGAAAAGGGATGCAATTTAGAGTCTCACCAAAAAAAATTTGGGGGGGGGGTATGGTCTAGCTGATTTCATTTAGTTTTTTCTTTTTGTTTCCATCACATTTCTTATTAAATATCCCACATTGTAATAATAGATGATCTGCTAAGAAATCTGGAATAAACATCAGATCCTATTTAAGAAAACTCAGAATTTGTATCCCTTCAATATTTACATGAACAGAAAATACACTGAAAATGTGTTTATCTCCTCCAATACCCTAATTATTTCATATTTAATGCACAACAAAAGGCTTGCAAAATATTTCAAAATAAAAAGTGGACCTTCCTGACAAACCCAACAAATCAAAATATATTATTCCACCCACCAACTTATTACAATTGAAAATAATATATCTAAGCTTGATACAAGAATTGTTACAACTACTTCTAAAACAATAAAAGACTTAATTAATACAAAACAATAGGCTAAAACTTAATGGAGGAATTTACTCTATCACCTGTAATAATTGTTACAAGGAATACATAGAAGAAACCTCAAGGAATTTAAATAAAAGATTAATTTTGATTTAAAAAATCCTACTTTAATTAAAAGAGAAAACAATTTACTAAGACAAAAATGTATAGAAAGTGCTTTAATCATTAGATCACCCACAATAAATTTATGTCCATGTTCAGCATTTCACTGTTCTTGGCATATCTTCTGTTGTTGCAGTGCAAGATATTTAATACCAAAAGTGATGGAGACATAAACAAAAAGAAAAAAACTAAATGCAACTATCTAGACTATATACCCAAAACATATTTTTAAAAAAATTTAATTTAAAATTCTCAGCATCCCCTTTCCATCATGTAACCACATCTACATAAACATCACTTTAGTACAATGAAGTCCTGAACAAAAAAATGTATCACTTGAAAATTATTCCCCCTTTGTCAAATTTTTTTTTACATAAAATTGTTCTTAATATATAAAAAATTATATACCATTTTACTATGTGATCAAATTTCCGTGCATTACAAAACATTAGTAATGCTTGGGAAGCCTGTCTGAATGCAACTTCTACTTTACCAATTAGGTTACAGAGATCTGATGCTTTATTTCCAATCTGCACTGCTGACAATCATAGACAGACAGTCTGAGAAGTAGTGATAAAAACCAACTGAAATTAAGATAATGAAAGAAAGAGTTATCAAAAAATAAATTGACAATTCTTCATATTGCAACTGAAACTAAAAACATTGAGGGAGGGGAGAAAATATAAAACATTTATGGTTAAATTTAACCTTCAGTATCAAGTTACTATTGTGGACTAATCACTAAGATAGGCTTCTTGAGGTGAAAAATGTTTATTCTGATCTTCAAAGAAGGATTTTATTTACCTGACCTCCCCACAAAGGTTACGATGTGACACAAGGTCTTTTTAAGGGGGGGTGCCTATACGTATACATATGAACCAAGGACAAAACTTGTCCAGTCCCTGTGACCACTGTCATGCTGGCGTCAATATTATGCCAACCCTTCCTCTCTTAGTGAAATGAGGAAGGTGCTACCACAGAGTTGGAATCCCCAAGGTTAGATGCCTTCTCCCTTCTCCCTTCTAAAATAAGAATAGCTACTATGCATTGGTCCTGACCTGAAGGTCAAGAATTGACAATGACCAAAGAATGTTGATCTATGAAATTGTGATAAAAAGCAAGTGAAATTTAAGTGAAAGAAATACTATTTGGAAAACTATTATTAACACTTCTGTTGCTGTTGACATACATCTTTACAAAAACCTACTTTGTCTTCTGTTGACACAAGTATGTGTGTGTAAGACACCATGAAACGTTAGTTTATAACAAATGCTATTGAATTACTAGCATTTAGTGTAGGTACCTCTACAAGATTGCTAAAAAAATTAGCATACTGTGATGAAAAAATGTTCCAAACTTAATGAAAACAGTTTTAGCATCAAAATCTTTACTATTAAGAGGAAAGACCAAAGTATTTTTTAATATTTAATTAAATTTTTTAATCCTTTTAGAACATTCAAATTTTGGTTAAAGAAAAATTTTTTTTGCATCAGCAGATGTATTATAAATTAGCATAGTTAATTTTAGCATCTTTTTATGATGACATGCATTAATTTGGAAATTCTTGAAAAACTTGCAAAATTCCAGCAGTCAAATTTTAATGAAATTTGCAGAACTTATTAACAAATGGATGAAATTATTTTAGAAATGTCATTTTTTAGAAAATCTTGGTTTTAAAAATTTTTTTTTTTTCTCTTGATTTTTTTTCTCTTGATTTTTTTTTCTCTTGATTTTTTTTTTTGTCTTGATTTTTTTTTTCTCTTGATTTTTTTTTTCTCTTTTTTTTTTTTTTTTTTTTTTTTTCTTGATTTTTTTTTTCTCTTGATTTTTTTTTCTCTTGATTTTTTTCTCTTGATTTTTTTTTCTCTTGATTTTTTTTTTTTCTCTTGATTTTTTTTTTCTCTTGATTTTTTTTTCTCTTGATTTTTTTTTTTCTCTTGATTTTTTTTTTTTCTTTTTTTTTTTTTTTTTCTTTTTCTTTTTTTTTTTTCTCTTGATTTTTTTTTTTCTCTTGATTTTTTTTTCTTTTTTTTTTTTCTCTTGATTTTTTTTCAATTCAACATGATAATTTTTAGTGACTATATTAGCTAAAAGCAGAACTCTTGGCAGAATTTAAATCATCAAATTGAACCCAGTCTTACTAAAAATCTGCTCTTAATCATAAAATAAAAAATGTAATAAAACTAAGACATTATTTAATTATAGAATCTTTTAATTGCTTTTATGAATAATATATATTAAGGGCAATATTGTCTTAAGAAAAAATCTTTTTTGATGAAAAATGAATTTTTACAAGATTTATTTCCATCTTTTTACAATTTTAATTCAAATAATTTATAATATTTTTAAATCTTAAAATTCAGTTTTAATGGTGTAACTCTTAAGAAATATTGTTATCAAGTAAAACTATATTTCTTAATAATATCGTAAAGCTTATTATAGGCAACCCTAAATAATTTTAGAAGAATTTTGAATTGTTTTTGTCTGCGTATAAGCATGTCAAAATTTTTAAGATTAGAGTTAAAAGGCACTTGCATTATGTTACCCAATTATATTTTTTTATGGTTTAAGCCCCTATAGAACAACATTAGATAAAAATCTCATTGAGCTGTCAACATAAATAAACAAGCTGCCATGCATTTCTGTGATATTTTAAACTTAAAGTAAAAAATAGTTGTTTTAAATCAGATAAATTATACTTTAAATCAGCTAATATTTCTCAAATAAAGTTTCAGAAAAGTATATTTTATTTTTGGAAGATTTTTTAATAAAGAGATTTACATTTTTATAACAGTTTGCTAAAAATGACACTAAATTCAAAAATTTTAGAAAATTTCAAAACAAAACTCCTTCCAATCAATTTAAATTAGTTTTGAAATACAGCATAGTATTTTGTTTATTGGAAATATTAAATTTAATCTCAGATTGAAATTAAAACTAAAATAAATCTTCAAGAAAGATTATCAAAAGTTCATTTGAAACATTAGGTATTGTGTTTTTGTGGAGGTACCTAATTTGGTGCTATTTCCAAAACAGTGCAGACATAAAAACTTTTGACATATTTTTATTAAATTGTGTTGGGGTGTTGTTTAGTTTAGTCTGTACTGCAGTGTATCCTATCCTATCCTGAGAAATTGTCATTGGTGTCTTTATAATCATTTAATTCCAGTAAATTTCCTAATTTTCCCAAAATGGGCCAGCACAGCCAGGCAATAATGTTATCAGAATGCAGCAGTGAAAAACATGATAATTACTTTATTAATATCTCTTTTATTTATTTTTTTTCTTTTTGTCAGTCTTGTAAAACTTTCTTCTGAATTTCTGTTTTGTTCTTTGTTACAGGCTGATGTTTTTTCAGAGTATCTTGGAGAAGTCACTTGTTCTCGATGTCAACAGGTCTTCCAAACCCTGAGTCATAAAATGTTTGGCAAACTACATTTTTGTACAATAATGCTGAGTGGCATTTTCCGAGCCAATGATTGCCGGTCATTTGAGGAATTTGTCCGACGCAGCAGTATTGCTATCCAAGTTGAAATCATGCCTCCCCCAAGCCCTTCCACTATCATCAACTCGGAGAGAAACCAGAAGAGGATATTGCAGTCAAAACTATTGTTCCAAAGTTCACAGCCAAAGAAAATCTGTCTGTCTTCTGAGACAAGTAGGAATGTCCATTCTATTGGAACAAAAGTCACCAAACTAAATTCAATTAACCACAATTTCAGGAAATCTGGTTCTGATTGCAAGAATAGTGAACTCACACAAAATCATAATGGCAATTCTGACAATATTTTTTCCATTGAAAATCCTTTCAAAAACCTAAAAATCCAAATAGAGAACACTGGTTTTCAAAAGAGTCAGTTTCCTCAGGCCAGTGAGTTTAAGGTGCCACTTATTTGGGATACAAAAGACTTGGATGGTTGTAAAGCTGATGAGAAATTGACAAAAACATTAATGGTGATGAACCAAATTATTTTTCTTGACTTGGATAATTGGCCAGGTTTCTTTAGAAAGCTGCCATTTTGTTTACCTGATTTAACTTTTGTCTGGGCTTTTTATGGAGCAAGTACTCATTGGATTGAACCCAACAAATGGTGAGTAAATTTTCTTTCTCAAGCAATTCAATCCTCTCCTTAAAAGAAATGACAAACAAATAAATGAAATAGTCCCATTGAATCATGAGTCATTTGGAAGTTTCTGATGGCTTGTTGGTTCCTTCATAAGGCTAAGTGACTACAAAAGTATCTTTTTTTTTTTTTTTTTATACTTTAAGAGTAACTGTTGGTCAATAATAATAATAAACTCATTCATATTAGTTTATCTATGAGAAAGAATTTTTTTATAACAGGTATTCTCTTTTACAAATTCAAATTGGCTTTCTTAAGAAGAACAACCAATTTAAATAGAAATGTAATTGTAAGTTTCTATTCCTTTGAAGAATCTTGAAAAACTTGGTATTTTAGATTTTCATGATTGCCAAGCTTTAGTGTATAAATATAGTGTTTAGTGCCTAGTGTTAGTTAGCAATGGCTAACTTTGTATTAATAAAAATACCCATGTTTGAAACAGTAATTTATAGCTTGTTATATAAAATGTTTTCCTTCTTTTTAAATTCTTTTTTTTTCTAGACATTTATTAATGTTCATTATCCATTTTATATTTTATGTAAAATAATCATTTAAATTTTATATAGCTGTAAGATTTTAATTATGTATGAAGAAAGGCTTTACTTGTATAAAATGCAAACAAATGTATGTCAACCAGTCTGCCAATCTACTTAAAGAAACATTTGATTGGGTTTCAAACACTTCACTATTCTAATAGAAGATAAAATATGCAACCAGTCTTATCAAATTTAGTTATTGCATGAAACTGATCTTCACATTAATATAATCAATGAATAACCCTATTATTACAAAATCAGTGATGACTAGAAATTTAAAATATGCTTTATATAGAAGGATAAAAAATGAATACCAAACCTTTATTTTATTAATTGGAATGCCTAAAGATATGTACTAAATAATGAATTAGAAATATTAATTTCTTTGACAATATTCCTTTCATTTTAATTTTTTTAATAAGCAATGTTGTTTAGAAATAAGTCACTGGTAAGACTTAAATTTGAATCTCTTTTCCTCAGCAAGTCTGTTTTAATGCAACAGTTGCCCTACTGATTAAGCCACAGAAACTTTCCGGCAGCAGTCATTCAAATCTAACCATATAGCTATTCTTTATTTTTCTTCTACAACTAATACTACTAGTGTATGTAAATGGAAAAAATAGCAACATATTAGGTGTTAGCTTGGGGGTAGTGGTAAGGAATAGGTGTATGGTTAGGTTTGAATAGCTACAACTGGAAAATCTACAGTGTCTGTATTGGTAAGACATCACATTAATAAAAGAAAAGTGATGCAAATTTTTTTTATTGGAATTTTGTCTTACTTGTGTTGTTTACTTATGTCAGAAGTAACAAAATCAGCTGTAATTAAGATGAAAAAATACTAGACAAAAAGTGAATTAATTTTATAAAACTTAATTGGAGTGGAAAAAAAGTTACTTAATATGGATATTAGATTGATTTTCAAAATTGTCTTTATTTGGAAATTTTATGTTCTGAGATTTTCTTTCAAAAGGGTTGTTATAGAATAATAGTCTAAAAAAAATACTGTCTTGAATTACAGATCCTTTACAATAATGTTTAAAGTTTTCAGCTATTAATTCAATAATGATTATCCCATTTACTATTCAAATTCGTATTTACCTTACTTAATGCTTAATCCGACATTTTTACATTCTTAAAAATTCATTGAAATCAGCAGAGCTTTGAAAAACATGTCTTCTCTCTTCAAATTCCAAGCATCCGAAAAAAAACTAGTCTAAAGAAAATATTTATGCATATCTTTTTATAGTACATTGCTGAATTCTCTTTCCAAAACCTTGACTTCAAATATTGTATTTGAACATTTTAATGGAAATTGTCTATTGGAATTTTAAGCTTCTATTTTCATAGTTTTAACATTTACTTAAATGGAAAAATAATAGTTTTAGTGTTTGTTATATTACAGATTGAACAAGAAGTAATTTTATAACTTTTATATGAAACTAAATATGGATATTCAAACAGGAACATGACAAAAAAAATATATTGATAAAATAAAACAGTCTTTATTTCCTTACAAATTAAAAGAAAGTGTTTTTTTTTTTTTTTTTTTTTTTTAATCATTCACTGTAGAACTCTGGGTGCCTCACTCTGAAGTGGTTAGCAATCTAATCTCACAGACTATTACTACTGGAGTCCTCATTATTGTGGCTTTCTTTTTGTTTCAGGATAACCTAAACTTAGTATATACTGATACTGCATGACTTTTATATTTACTTATAGATTTCTTAGAGTTATTAAATGGTACTGATGCTAATTTTTAGATTTGAATATTTGGTCTTTCTTTTTCGCTTTTTCACTCTCTTTATTGGTCATCTATTTAGATGAGATTACATTTGACAAGATAGTAAGAATTTGGTTACTGTTGTGGCAAAAATTGTGTGACATCTTTCATTGTCGATTAAATAAAAAGTACGTAGAGGAATGACTTGACAAGAAGGTAGTTTTCCGAGATGGTTAATATTTTTTCTTCATTTACAGCATTACATATGATGAGCTTAAACAGAAGGGCTACTTCTACTTAAATAAAAAAAGTGGAAGAACCAAGGATGCAGCTGATTTTGCTCTGGTGCTTCATGTAAGTGTTCTTACTCCACCCTGTAGCTCCATCTACTAACCTCTTATAATCACTGCCATAATATCCCTGTAGTCCTGTCTTTTCTTTCTCTATCTCTGGCTAGCTGCTATTTTCACTGTTTTTTTAACTAACCACCTCTCCCTTCTTCAGACATCTTGTCTTTCACTTTTCCTTTTGCTAATTCCCCAATTTCAATTTTTTAATATTTAAATATCCAATGTAGCAGGGTAAGTTGCTACTTCCAATTCTTTCTTTTATTAAGGTTGGCTCCTCTGGTATAAAAACGTGTGAGTCTAAGTGTTAAAAATCTAGTTTTAATGCTGTTGTCTAGAAGCTGCAGAAAGTTAACTTTGAAACATATAATCTGTATAACTTTTAATAATTTCCTCTTTTTGACACATTTAGAATTGGCTGATTTGGTTGTTCTAAGAGCTGCCGTTTCTTTGCCATATTTAAAGGGGTCTGGATTCTTTAACTTCCTTAGAAATATGTAATGCATTTTTGTGCTTGCTATGAAGCTAGAAGTACAAGTTTTATATTATTTTCTCTCACTGTTTAAATTTATTGATGTTTGGTCTTAATATGTTTGCACAATGGGATCTCATTAGCTTAATAAGATGCAAGTGAGAAGAGTGTTTTGACATGGAGTTGTAGTTAACAATCTCTTTTCACAGGCCATTACTACTGTAGTGAGTTTGATTTGCACTGGGTGCCACATATTTCTGGTCTTTTATTATACTATGCTTATTAAATATCAGTATACAGGTGACAAAAGAATGAACTTGCTTGAATACTTTATTTAAGTTGGTATGTTCAATTAACTCTAAAGAATGGTAATTCTTTTTGAAAGTGTTGCCTAATGGAATATAGGCATGAAATGCAACTGTTTCCTTTCCTTAAACTTTATATATTGTTTAGGACACTGTATGAAATTGAATGGTTTATTATTTGAAGCTAAATATATATCAATATGTATCTGTTATAAAATTTTTTATAAATTGTTTTCAGTATTAGATTTTTTATTCTTAAGTTTCAAATGTTTCCATAATCAGTGCTTAGTGGATTTTGTATGAATCATTACATCAGTGGTTCCCAATGTGCGGTGGAAGAGGATAGCAGGTGAGGTGGAATGATTGAAAAACAATCAAAGATTTAGAAAGTTTTAAAAAATGTGTATGCCAAAAATAAATAGAACTTCAAAATTTAAAATATTATTATGAATTACTTGTAATTGCATGCATGAGTCCCAGTATAAATAATTATTGACCCATTTTACCATTGTGATATTTTTGCATTATATCAAGTATTAAAAGATAGTAACTTGTGTCTGCAAATTGGAGGAGAGAGTTATCAGTGACAATGTTCTGACTTAAAATCCGTGGTTATGTCCCTTTAACCCTCTTTCTATTTTTTATTTTTATCGCAAAAATTTGAGGTGTGAGCAAATTTTAATTCTGAAAATGTGGCACAGAGAAAAAAGTTTTCGGAACCACTGCATTACATCTTTATTGCAATTTATGTAACAGGATAGTTTTGTTACCGAACAATAAGTGTCCAATTTCTGCATTTGTATGATTTCTTGCTGTCATATTCTTAAATAGCCTTGTCAGACTGAGGCTTACATATGGATGTCATGCATAGTGTCAAACCAATTCAGAAATGTCTAAACTGTCAGCTGCATGCAACCACTTTCTAAGATCAGTGTTTAAAAATGGCTTTCAGTGAGAGAAGGTTGTGGGTCTTCGCAAACACCATCCTTCTTTGAACATTGTGGACTGGCACTAAAGGATCATAAACTGAGAACTGTACCAAATAACAGAAACCATATCATTTGAGGACTATCAACAGCAGCAACAATTAAAATGGATAGCACATGTAACTCAAGAGAAAATGACATAATCAAGATGTTGATATTTCACACTACTTTAAAAAGGAAATCCCCTCACCAATATTGGAAAGAGCGATGACAGCTACTGGACTTGAAAAACTTATTTTCCTGAAAAATTGTTTTAAGAGAAAGATTTTATAAACTTCAACCAAAAGGAGTACTGGCTGCTCAGTCAATGAATGCTAAATGTTTCCTTGTAAAGAAACTGCTATTTTGCCATTCTGTCTGACTTTATACAAGAGATAAAATTAGGCTTGAATTCTAAATGGTTATTATAATGAACAATTGAATCATGTTCTTGTTTAAAATAATGGATTTTAAGACAGATTTTAGCCAACACAAATGTGCAAATGATCTTGAATTCTATGGCTAATGTAGGGCTTGATCATAAGAGTATGTTGTAAGTATGTATCACTTACTATTTTACTCTTAGACTAAGCTCTTGTTTCTCTTATATGTCATGTGTGTGAGCAAAATATAAACTTTTAGATTGATGAAAACTCGTTGGAAATCTCAACTGACCAGTTTACACTTCTCTTCACTCTGGTAAACCCATACAAACCTTAAATCACCATTCTAAAATATTGTGTGCTTATATTATGTTTTCTTTATTTTTCTTTAGCTGTCTACTAAATTTATCTTAAATTTGGATATCATTGATATATTCTAGAACAAATGAATCCAGGTAAGCTTTCAATAAAATGTCATTTTATATGTTCCTAATGGAAAACACTAATTAATGCAAGTTCTGGTAAGTTCTTTTGGCTAAATTTAATATTGGAGCAGCAGCCATGTTTACTTTAAGTTTATTTATTAAGATGAATATCCAAATTACCTTTATTTGGAATGTGGAAACTATTTTGGCATTCAAAGCACAAATTTTATATTATCTTATTTTACCAGGTTTTGATTTGGGCTTCTATTTTTTTTTTTCTTTACATTTTTTTTTTTTTTTATTTTTCAAAATTGGATTCTCTACACAAATATTATCTATTAACATCTTTTTTAAAAAGAAAAGTAAGAAAATGCTTGCTCTGTCCCCAGTGTTTAATGTTGTAAAAATATGTATGGCATTGTATTTTCAATAGAAGCACCGATATATCAAAGCCCCTATTTAATATTAAATTTATAAAAAAATTATTTAAAAAAAAATCATCTTTCATATATTATACAAAGAAAAAAAACACTAAATTTGATTAGTTAAATAGTAATTATTTATAAACTTTATTTACTACTATTACTAATATATAAGTTATCAAATTAATCAATAACAAATGCAAGCCAGTAAATCATTTGTAAGTTATTTTCTAGGCAGTGTTATCCTAAACTTAATATAGATTAACAAAAAAGGATGAATCTGTTTCTTTGACATAAGGAAAATCATTCATATAAAAAGGAAAACAACTTTAAAATAATGCTAAGATCAAATGTTATTTTAAACACAAAATTATAAATTCTTTTTATAAAATGTACTTGGTTGTAGTTGAAGGCAAAGGAAGAATTTTAAATAGGAGTGGCCACATTTTCTTTTCCTGATTAATTTTACCAGTTTATTATTGTTAAACAGTATAAGACTAAATCTTCAGTTTTCTGTAATACCTTTTTGAAGTAGTGTTGTATTAAGATTATAACATCTATTCCCTGGGCAATTATTAAATGTTAATAGTAGCCAGAATTGTTTTTTTTTTTTTTTTTTTTAAGTAGTCTATATCATTGATTAAAACAATGTCCATGATTGGAGAATTGTTTGTTTAGCCAATCATTTAACAGAGTATATAATGTCATTGTCTGAACTAAAGATGTAATGTAGACAGTGAGTTGCAAAGTAGTTTCTACTTTGTAGATATCTAACACCTGGCAGTTAGAATTGTTTCACTAACCATTATAATAGTAAAACAATTCTAGCTGCCAGGTGTTGGATAATTATCAGAAAGGAATTTCACATGTTTTTATGGTTAAAATTAAAAAATTATTTTCTATGCAATTATGCTTATAACTTTATAAATGTATTTGTTCTTATCTTTTGTTTTTGAAATGATAGCATACTTGACCATTTAAAAGTATCTCAGTGTTAAATTAATCTGTTACAATTTTATTTATTAAATGTAGTTCTCCCATGTAGTCTTCACTGAATTTTTAAGAACTAGTTTATCCACACTGTAAAAAATGACAGTATATTTTAAGTCCATACTATCATTAGGTTTTACATGTAAAATTATAAATAAATTGTCAGTGAAAGATAGATAACACCAGTACAGCAGAAATTTAAACATTAGACAAACTATTTAGTGATACAAGACCTTCATGTTTAGTAGAAGACTACCTGTATATTTATAGATTTACTAATTTAATAAAATGAAGTGAATTATCTTTGCTTAGTAACTAAATTTACTTTTTATATTTGTCCAAAAGGCACATTTTTGCATGCAGTTGATTTATTTAAAATTTGACTTGATGTGGTTTTGATATGAGAAATTCAAATTGCTGTAAAATAAAGTAATTTGGATTATCAATTTGGGACTGATTTTTCTTATTTTTGTTGATTTTTTTTTTATTGCAGCTTTCATATCATCATTTTATAGCTGTTGGCATTTGTAATAAAAAGCAACAGAAAAAAAAAATAGTCAAAAAATTAATAACAATGCTTCAGTGAAAAACTCGTACTCTTTACATCTGATACTAAAATATTTGAATTTGTTTATTTTAGTTGCAGGTCATGGAGGGAAGTTTTCTGGTTTGAATTAGTAATTACTACAAATATTCATTATATACAGTTTTATATCTATTTTATATACCCCCACACACACTAAAAAAAAAGAAAAATGTTATTTTATTTGGTTTCAATAAGGTTTGTTGTTCAGTTGTAATTGATTTGCATGTTGACCCCAGACTGAAGATTGTATATCCAAGTCATACATAACATTTCCTGGCTTATCCCTGAATCACTCTGGTCACACCTTTATATTGACTTTGCTGGACACATCAAAGGACAGTATTATTTTATCCTTGTTGATGCTTACAGCAAATGGCCAGAAATTTTTCAGATGAATCACATCACCTTGGATGAAACAATTCTTAAGTTAAAACAAATCTTCAGTCAATTTGGAGACTTACAGATACTAGTTTCTGATAATGGCACTGCATTAACTTCAATGAATGTGTGCTTGGATTCTTTTTTTTTTTTTTTTTTTTTGCAGTAATCTTTTGCAAGTATAAGTTATCCTGATACATATTTGTGTTTCACTGCTCCATGATGACTGTTAAATTGTTCTTCCATCACCATGTTCCATTTTAGGGAATGGTTTGTAGTTGGATAGAGTGTTTTTAACACTGGATCAGAAGCTGTGGCTTCATGGATCATTGTAGAAGTGACTGGTAATGCTCTTATAGTGGGTACAAGCACTAAAGTGAGTTCTGGCTCTAGAGATAATGCTGCGATGACCGAGTCTTCTGTTACTTTATTTTGTGTAGTCATGAGCCTAAATAATACATTGGCATGACCAATTGTATTTGTTAAATTATATTTTATAGAAAAATTTATAATCTAACATCATAGTAGCCCATCTTTGCAGACAGATTGCTGTATACACTGGAATGCCTTTTTTTAGATCCAAAAATACTAAGAAGCCTGTGATCTATGGTCAGAGTGAATGATGTCTGTACAGCATTTTGTGGAACTTTTTAATAGCTAATGCTTATTTTTCAATTTGGCTATAATTACACTTTGCCACATGCATGAGCTATTGCCTTTTGGCTTCCATCAGGGAAAATGTGATAAATGACAGATCCAGTACCATAATTGGAAGCATCAGAGACCACAGCAATATTGTAGTATCAGCAAAAGATTGAAAGAAAGTAAGGACTTCACATTTTTTTAAGGCTACCTGACATGTGTCAAACCACTTCCATGCAACATCTTTTTTCAAAAGATTGTTGAGAGGTACACAAACTAGAAGTTCAGGCGAAAAAGCACTGTAGTGGCTAATCAAGCCAAGGAAAGAACATTTGTTACATTTGTCATTGCTGCCATGTTGTTTTTTTTATTGCTGAGATATTTTCTAGGTCTGGTCGTCTATCATTTTTTCAAAAATAAACCCAAGATATTTTAATTCACACTTTTCAGCTTTAACACAGAATCCATATTGTTGAACTGGTCTGAAAAAAATATATGTTGCAAAAGATCATCTCTCTTTATGCTTATTAAATTATTGCATTGAGTGGTGCAGGCTTTTAACTTAATGTTTTTTGTCCTGTTCCAGTTTTGAAAGAAGTTGGGTGTGAACATCAGCATGATTAGAAGATTTTAATCCTGCAATAAAAATCAAACATTTAAACCGTTCATCTGTGAGGGAACTTAATTTAAATTTCTTGCATTCCCGGTTGATGTGACCAGCAAATGTCACATACAATCATCAGCATCATCTTTCATTAGCCTTAAACAATGAATGTTTTTCTCCAAATACTTCACGGAGTTGTTTCAGTGAAGGTGAAATCTATTACCTGCTTTGGTAAAATATAATTTGTATAATCTGTCATGTTCTTTAGTGCCCAGTTTACAAATTAGGAGATGAATTTTCCACTTTTCATCTTTGAGAAAAGTCAGTGTGAAAGGTGCCCATCCAACGTTTAAGCCATGAAGTGAATGTTTTTCCACTTGCTGGGTCATAGTGGAATTCTGTGATGTTGTTGACCAAGATATCCACTGAATTGGTATTTTTGGTATAGCACGGAAAATTTCGAGTTGATGCTGGAACTGTGCAGTCATTGCGGTCAATAACTGTTGTGACTTCTACAATTGTTCTTGCTGTTGGCATAGTCTCTGTAAGCATTTCTGGTGAAATTGCTATGTTGATTTTGAAGTTAAAGTCCTTGTCGCCAAAAATTTGTTATATCCCAGGTTGTTGGGATGAACAAAAACATGAAAATAAGACAGGTGGCATCATGTTTTTTTTTTTTTTTTTTTTTAACTTTTCATCTGCATTCAGCCACTATACATTTCTTCTCCATCAAAATGGATACCATTTTTCATTACAAGTGATGACAATATACAAAACACTTCAGTTTCATATTAAACAGGAGAAATGCAAGTTTGCATGAATCTGGATTTTTATTTTTTCATTCTGTTCAGATTGAAGCATTTTATGAACCTTTTTATTTATCTTTTTTTTTTTTCAACCTGTTAATTGCTACTTAACCCTTTGAATCCTGATCTCTTCATTATTTTTTTTTCTAATATCCCTGACCTATTGGGATTACAGTAACAAATATGCTGACTCCATGTCATTCTCAGGATAGCTAAGCTTATATTCAGTCTTATCATTTGTTGCTGTTTTGATCCTTTCAATCCAGAACAGTTGAATTGGTCACTCACTCATTTCATGATCTAAATTTAATATAGCCAAACATTTTTATTTTATTTATTTTTAATGAAATCACTCTATGTGCAAATTGTTGAAACAATAATCTTTTCTCATTAACAGCATTGTACTTTAATGCAGAATCTGTTTACAGCTTCATCTTCATTATGACGTGGCCCAAGTTGAACTCTTTAAAAATTTTAAAATGATCAGTTCAAAGGCTTTCCATATTGGCTTAATAAGAAACAAAAATGAAATGAAATTTTTACTGAATGATCAGAAAATTATGTATTAGTGAAAATAAAATATCAAATAAAAATGTTATTGTTTTTGAAAAAAATGTTAAAAATAACATGTGAAAATACCATGCTAAATACAATCAAAAAAGTCAATGAAATTCAAAATGACTTATTTACATACTAAAAATGTATTAAATATTATTTACTACAAACTGCTTCTTGAAAGAATGTTAATCCAGTTTATGTAAGAATAAGAGATAATTTAATTTAGACTAAGTTGTATTTAAGGAAACTAGTTGGTCCGATATACTCTGTCATTGTAAAAAAAAAAAAAAAAATATTTTAAAATTAAGATTTCATTATTTTAACAGCATAAGAATTTCAACATCTGTCTATATTTCTGAGATAAGGTATTATGTACATTATTCAGACTATTGTCCTTATCTTTGTCACCATATTTATTACGTTTCGGCCATTGTACGCTCCGGCCTTCAGGTGGTTGGAATGTCAAACTTAACCCTTTATTTCACTCACTGGGGTAGACTGTTCTAGTTCCATGTGCCATGTTTAATGGATGTCAGTTATCAGCTTATCTTCTGTTAATTTCCCTCTGAAAGTTCTCCACTGCCTTAACCGGGTATTGAACTCACACTCTTTGGTTCCTTTTACTACCTTTATCCACTGTGCCATGTGTCCTTGAGGATTAAATTCGACATTTCAACCACTTAAGCCAGAGTGTACAACAGCCGAAATGTTGTAATAAATATGGTCACAAAGATGAGGACAATAGTCTGAATAATGTAAATGTGAAGAATTTCAACATCTCATAAAAACTGATTTTTTTTAAAATTTTTTTTTCTAGCTGGAGGTTAAATATAAATTATCAAGTGGAAGCTACTTTTGAGCACCAATTATTTGATAATCTTATTTTTGTCATATTAAGAGCAAGATTCATGTCATTCTCTCTATGTGCATTAAGAATAAGCTTCTGTTAAATGATCTTTTTAAGAAAGAGAAATATGTTAATAGAATATTTATATCCATATATTTTATGTTCTGCTAAAAAATTAGGTTCTTTTTATTTTCTGTTCTAAATGTGATATTTATATGATTTTAATTGTTTATAAATTGCATAGTCTTGTAATGACAAAAAAGTTCATCATTGATTCAAGGGAAGTAACTAAGAAATATTTACGCCAAATCTTTTTTAAACTTGTGGATTTCTGTAATTTTCTGGATTCTTGCTTATTTATTCTTCAAACTTATTCATTGTATTGGATTGTCTAAGTTTACATCTTCAACATTTCAATTTTTTTTTTTTTTTTAGTTTAAATTCTTTCTCTCCAAAAGAAACTTTTTATATATATATATATATATATATATATATAATTTTTAAAAGCATTCTTCACTCACCCATCTTCTTCACTATTTTAAAAGATCTGGACAATCCAGAATTAAAGTTTGTGGGAATTTTTATTTTTAAATTTTAATCTTAGAAAAAAAGGCTAACAAATGACATAATTAGGCATAATTCTTGTCATCTTGGAACACACTGAAAAAAATATAAGCTTATGACACTATTTGTGTAAATAATAATTTAAACTGGAATATAAGGCTTTGAAATTCATACTACTACACAATCAGCTGCTTTGGTTTAAAATAAAAATGAAATATTTTTGTTTGAATTAGTTGTTTTCTATAAATCAAAAGATTAAGATTGCCACAAAATGTGTTTGTGCCTGTAAAAAAAAAAGTGTCAAAAGGACAGTTATTACTTTGACACTGTTATTACTATATACACTTTTGACTGAGCAATGTTTATTATTTTAAAAAGTGATTAGAATTTTAATAAAAGCCAAAGATATGACAGTGGATTTATACATTTTCTTTATTCTTGAGAATTGATAACAATATCAAACACTATTAGATTGAATAAAAAATGTGTTTTCATAGTTATTTATAAAAATGGAATATTATAAATATTACATTGTAGTTAGTTTTCATATTTTATAATTTTGTAATCTTTTATGAATTTTTGATTAAAAAGATTTCTTTTCAAATTTATTTCTTTATAAAAAATAAATAATATATGTTGCTGAAGGAGTTTAAGTGTGCAAAGTATTAGTGGTGTCAGTGGATTAACTACGCTTTTGACAGTTTTTTTTTTTTTTTTTCCCTAAGTAATATTTTAAACATATATTTTGACTGCATTGTACTATATCAGCATTGATTGAGATTCTTCCTTATTTTCTTTAAACCTATCATTCTTTTTCTAGGTTGGAAAGATGGATGAGCGCCTTCCTCAGCATATTTCATTTACTATCTTGTCAGGAGACAAGGGTTTTTATGAAGTTGAAAACCAGTTAAAGAATTCAAAGAGGCTAACCAAAGTTATTGACCCACACAGAGCCCAAAAGGAATCTTATGACTTTTTGTATGCCTTATTGAAAAGTATAGCAGAAAAATAAATTCCTTTTCAGCATTTATTTAAATCAATAAATTACATGAACAAATCCTTTTGATATAAGGTATTTAAACTGTAAAGACTCTTATCATTTGAATTTTAAGCAAGGAAGATCATTTACCAGAATAATATATATTTTTATGTCATATTTAGACTTCCTGCTTAGTCTTTGGTACATCAAATCATTATTTTCCGATGGTGCTAAACAAATTTTATACCCAGAAGAAAAAGTATGAAAAGTTATTTTGCTGTAGTTGGTTTGTTTCAGTTTTCTACATTCTTATATGAACAATTATTTTATACACAGCTAAGTACATCACTGGATCAACTCCAAAAGAGATTCTTAATATCAATTTTTTTTTTTTTTTTTACAAATACACACGAATAGTTTAAAATATGGTGTAGCTATGTATTAAAGATAATATATAAGGATGGGGTTGAACTGGATTAACTGGCTTGAAAGTGCACTGTTAATGTTTGAATTTTCACTGTATTTACAAATGTAAAATATAAAGTTTTTCTTTTATTTCATTCTGGATGCAAAAAGACGAAGTATCTAGTATTTCAGGAAGTTTCTACCTTTGCTCTATAAGAAAACTAGACTGTGATGAAACTTGATTGGAAAAGAAGCAGATATATTTTTATAGATTTTCAAATTTAAATTTTCTTCAACATGACTAAAGAAATCAATAAAAAATATTTTAAAATGATCTCTCTTGTTTTTGAATGTAAAGAGTCTAGAGCTCAGTATATATTGCATTTTAATCTAAACTTTGAGTTAAATGCAGTTAATTTTACAAGTTTAATGTTCATAAAAATGTAAAAATAACTTGGATTGGTGTTTTTTCAGTTTAAAAATAAAACATTAAAAAGGAGTTTACTTGTCATTGTGTTTACTTATTGAATGATAGAATGGTCAAGATTTTTTAAAAAAAAAACAAAACAAAAAAAAACTATAAAATTCGGTGTATACAAAAAAAAAAAAGAATGTTATAGATACACAACATTAATGATCCATATCAATCTTTACTACATGATCAGAATTTCACTAACTACTATGTTGCAGATGCTTTTTATATTTGTATGTATTTTTCTTTTTCCTAATACTGGAAAATATACATTGCACACTCTATTCAATTCCAGTTTAAGATATGAGCCAGAATTGAAAAAATAGGTCATCCCATCTGCATGAATGAACAGCTTTATTGTATTTCCATCAATCCCTCAATGTACATTGCAAAGATGCACTGGTGTGCATCATCAGTTGTGTTAATACTGGTTCATTAATAGACCTGTAAAATATTACCATCATACTATCTCATCCAATTGACCTCATCATTGTAGATCAAGTGACAACATTCTTCCCAGCAGGAAACTGTTTATCCTTTGTTGAATTGCATTAATTCAACCAAGAATAACTGAACATTAATGGTTCCTATTTGTAGTAAGTGCCAACCAATAAAAAACCTTACTTCCTGTTTGTCTAATTTATAACACAAAGTTCTGAGCTTTGACAGTATCTAAAACAGATAATATTGAGATATATTTTGTTTTGATAAAAATCAATCTATACAACCTCTTTAAAAAGTTGTTTTCAATTCTTTTTCTTCTACAAGAAATCCCTGTTGAGCATGTTGGTATGAAATTGTTTTAAAAAAGAAAAGAATTAAAAACATAACTTATGAAATAAATTGTCCTGTGAAAATGGAATTCTATAAGTGAAATATTTTGAATTAGTTTACTATCTTTTTTTTTCTCTGTTTTTGAAAAATGAACACTTTCATTCTATATGGATAGCAAACCTAAAGATGATCATAAAATGGATCAATTGAAACATTGTGGGAACAACATTGATGTTTTTCTTCAATTGTAAATTGAAGCTGAAATAGACAGTATCTCATAGAAACTAATTCCAATTTAAGAACTAGAAAAAGACAATACTTTCCATGAATTAAACAACGGCTGCTTAATTTTGGTTTTGATATAATTTTGAACGACCTGTTTTCTCTGAAAACTGATTATCTTCAGCTTGTTAATGCATGTTGTGCCTAACCAAAAGAGGAAGTCAAAGATGGAGTTTTAATTTAAGATATGCTTAGATTCATTCTTATTTAAACTGAAGAAAAGATTCCAATACAAAGTTTAAAAATAAAAAAAATGCATTACCTCAACAAATGAGATGAGCCAACCATTTTTTTAATTTGTGGAATAGTTTTTAATGTCTAATTGGCAAACGATACTTTTATCATATAGTCAAGATATTTGTAGCATTAACACGTTGGCTCCCATTAGAGTGTCATGGTGGTATGTTTGCACAGTCCATACGACCCTCCAGTAGGTCATTTTCCAATTTTTTTTTCTATAAGGATTATTGGGAGTAGTTACTTATGAGATCATATCACACCAGAACCACATTTTTTTTTTTAAATTTTAAATATTTGATTTTTTTTTGTCTTTTATTTTGTTTTCCTTTTGGAATTTCTATTTTTTTTTTTTTTTTTTGCGAGGGGTGGGGATCATTTATTTATTTTTATATACACAGAGCTGTACCATGCATTCAGATAAACTAAAAGACTAAGCCAAAAGAAAATTTAATTGGCAAAACATGAAATTTAAAAAAGAAAAAGTATACTTCATTTACTTAGGAAACCAAAATAATGCCTACAACCAATAAAATAAACACAAGAATTCTAATTTGGTAGAAATTAGTTAATAAAAAAAACATTTCTAATGTCTGAGCCATTGTGTTAAGATACTGGTTTTTGAAATTATTATCTTTCTCAGCCTTTTGTAGAATTATTACAAAGACATCTTGAGAAGTTCTCAGCTTGACCCAAATCAAAATTATTTTAAAAATTTTTATTAATGTTTGAATGCTTAAAGAAATACTGTGCTAAATGTATTGAACCAAGAGATGAATGTGCGCAATAGCATGTAAGTTTTATGGCTCTTTGTCATTCTTCTTGGTCAGGCCAAAGACTTTTCAGCACTCCCTCATAGTAGGAATAGAAGCCCCTCCCATACAATCAAAGTCAACAATAGATACTTTTTTACATTACCAGTAATTTCTAAGCAATTGATAGATTTTTCATTTTTAACCTGACAATATTTCTTATTACTTTAAACATTGGATGTTTGAATACATGCCCTGTTTGTTTTGTTTTGTTTTTGTTTTGTTTTGTTTTGTCTTGTTTTTTGTTTTTGTTTTGTTTTTTTAAATTTTTTTTTGTTTGTTTTGTTTTTAAACTGAATTAATTACATTTACTGGTTTGTGCTTTTGAGAGTCTTAAAGAAAAGGTATCTAACAGCAGGATTCAAACCTACATACTCCCTTTGTAGGGGTATCCACCATCTGTTCTGGCATGCTTTATTAGACAGTTTAGCTACAGAGAGCCTAACAATCCAATAAAGTTCAATTGTCCTTTTAAGGAATATGCATCTTGTTCAGATCTTCTTGAAAGCTCATATCTACTGTAATTTTATGTTCAAAACAAAGTAATTACTAAGATGAACAGATGGATTTTTAATTTTTTAATCTGACGTTATTTCTTATTACTTTTAGAGCTTTTATTTTAGCGAATACATATGTTTGAGTAAGGAAAAAACTTAAAAGATTACTAATAGCTGCAAAAAATAATACTTTTATTTTATAAAAAAATACTAGATATTTTTATATAAAAATTTCTTTTACAAAGTAAATGCTTCATTATTTCATAGATATTGTTTTTTTACAAAACTCATAAATCTTTTCATTTCTGTTTCTTTTCCTCTTCACTCTTGAACCTCTCCATAATTTATTACAAAAAACAATTTTTTTTTTTTTTTTTTTTTTTTTTAAGCAATCAACCCCAAGCAATGTAAAAATGTTTATTCAAAAATCATTTAACATTAGACTGCTGCTGGTTAAGGATCAGCAATAATAAGACTAAATGTTAAATGTAGTTGAAGTTAGGCTCATGACAGAGGACTTCCCTTTATTTACTTCCAAATAATCTACTCTATATAAAATACAATGTGATTTTCTATATTTATCAGACCTGCTCCTGATCTCTCCTATTTCAGATAATGAGCTATTCCATTGTTTATAATAACACACACACACACACACACACACTCCACTTGGAATTACCAAGTTACTATGTCCTTTGTGTATATTTATTTTTAATAATCTAAGCTGAATATTTTTACATTTTAAAATAACAAGTAACAATAGCATGCATATATTCTCTGATTACGATACAAGTGCTAATCTCTGTATCAATAATCCCATCAGTTTTGACAGGTACTGTACAGGTTGAACATAAACAAGAAAATGAAAATCACTAATGAACTTTGTAATAATTTATAAATGTTATTACAAAATATTTCACTCAGTTTTTTATGACATGATGATAGAATTTATTATAAGTTATAAGTATGGGACAATGACCTAGTGGATTGAACTGTTGGTTTTAGCAACGTTGTGAATTTGGTGACAGTGATTGTGAGTTCAGTCTCTGGGTTGGGCAGTGTGTACTTAAATTCATTGGAAATGGGCAAACAATAATTGGGCAGTATTAAAAATAACTAGACGATACCCCTAGATATGGACAGTGAAACAAGAACAGTCTACACCTGTAGATTAAATAAAGGGTTCAGTTCAGAGTTCCCTGTAGGTTACCCAAATCAATATGCAGCTTGAGGGCACAACTGCCAAAACTTTGTGATAACAATAAAGATGAAGACAATAGTTTGAATATAAATATTATAAATAAGTTATAAGAGGTTATATTGAGTGACCAAGATCAAACTCTGGTTGTTCCTGTGTTAGTATATGGTTGCAAGATGGTTGCAATGAATTGGGGAGATGACAAGCCTTGTAAGAAGGATCCTCAAGATTACAAGATTTTACCCTGTGAAAATGGTGAAACTGTTCCAGCATGTCTCTGTAGAATACTTTAGTATCAAAGTTTGGCAAAGAAGATGGGTGGGTGGGTGTTTGGTGTTTCATCGGCCACACTTTAAGGCAGTGGCTCCCAAACAGTGTGGCACACCTCATAGGTGCAGTGGAAGAGGATAGCAGATAATGCAGAATGATTGAAAGACAATCAAAGATTTAGAAACAGTTTCAAAAAATTTGTATGCCAAAAATAAATATGATTTCAAAATTTCAAATATTATGGATTACTTGTAATTGCATGCATCAGTCCCAGTATAAATCGTTATCAATAATTATTGACCGATTTTATCATCATGATTTTTTTGCATTATATCAGGTATTAAGAATATAGTAACTCATACCTGCAAATTGGAGGAAAAAGTTATCATAATGTTCTGACTCGCAGGTAGGGCCCAGTTAGAAATTCCTTCAGGTCAGATAACTTAATCTACTCAGACGACTGACTTTTGATTGAGGATGTTCCCAAGTTCTAGATGTAACTCCCAAGTTGCTTTAGCTGTCTCATCCTACAAACTTAAACAACCCTCTCCATGAGGCCACCCCACTACTCATTATTATTCATGAACATACTGTATTTGAGCTGATTAGGAAGAAAAATAGTACTTATAAAAGTTTGGCAAGATCTCAGTTACCTAAAGGTAAAATTAAAACTAAGTTAAGAAAGAGAACAGAAGTAGGTTTTAAATTTATTATTTGGAAGAGTGAAACAAAGTTGAAAGCTATGCAAAAAAGTTTGCTGAAATATTTAATAACGCTTTTCTTAACTTGGCTGGTGGGTGAGTAATCTTCAGTCAGTCAATTAAGTGCCATACATGATACATGCTTAGACAAACATGTCTATTTCGATTCATGACTGATTAGGAAGATTTTCCCACAGTAGGTTGCTGTTACTTTTTGTGGTAGACTGGTTACCAACTAAGGCTATAGGACCCAGTCTGTCCTGCTATTCAAGAGATAGATACATACCTTTCCCAAGTTTATTTGTGTAAGTGAATGTGTAGATTGTGACAACTTTTGTAATGAAATTTGTGACAACATTCTCCATTCATCCATCACTGCACAACCTGATGACATTCAATATTGGCTGTATCTGCATATACACCTGACTTCGCTATGCTCACAGATTTGTTCACTTGGCCATGATTGAATTCAACAGAGAATAATAATAATTGAATATCAAGATTCTCTGGTTGGGAAATAGCAACAATACGAATTTTCACTTAGCGAGCTATCTTTCCTTTGGCTGAACTGTTATTTCTTTAACTGCCACTGGTCCTTTCCTACCCAGCCACTCGGCAGCTACTCACACACTGGTCACCTACTTACTTCTCTGACTGCTGGATCCCTGTCTCACTGCTTATATGGATAATGGCTGGGGTTCCATCTCACTATCCATTCACTTGTGTTCAGGAAATTTGAGACCACCCCAAAGCCATATGGGTGGTCAAATCTTCAAAGGACTACTTTTATAACTATCTAAAAATCATCAATAAAATTTTATGTTTGCCAATTCAAAGGCAAACTAGAGACATGAATTCTGAAAACCCCGGCAATTCAGTTGCCTCAAGGATGGACTGGAAGACAAAATTCCTCTGAAACTCAGATAGCTGAATGCATTTAAAAGAAAGGAGTTTATCTACTTATCTTCTAAAGATGTATGAGAAATTATATTGTTACTGACTTACATGTTCAAATTATAATTAAGCATATTATAAATCTTCAGGTTATGTGTTGATAGAATTAAGCTTTAAAAAAGCTTAAGCAAAATCATTGTACAACTAAATGTCTTCATGCTGTAGAATATTTTCACTTGAAATTATTATACTATAAATAGTTGACTATGTTTGACAGTTGGGGTAACTTTTTTTTGATGAAAACATGTTTTCAAATGAAGAAAAAAATGGAAAGTAAACACATTTTTTTGTTGTTTTTAAAGGCTTTTTTAAAATCCATAAATAAAACTGATAAAAGTTAATAAAATTTATATATAGTCAAATATATTTGAACAGACTTTATATGGCTGATTAATTACTTAATGTCTCAGTCTCTTTACACTCAGTGGTGTTATACACTGAGTTATACTATGAGAGAATGTGTTATATACTATAGTTGCAAGAGTAACAAATAAAAATAATATATTCCAGTGAGATGGAAAAAGATTGATTTATTTATTTTCTACAGCTTATCAACTCATGACAGGTTATTTAAAGCCAGAAAATATTTTTCGATTGTAAGAATTGGGAGAGGGGGTGAGATAATAATAATAATATAGTCATATAAGTCTTACTAATTAACCCAACACTGGGGGGGGAGAAGACATAGATTTATATCTTTCACAAGAGTTTTTACACATAAGTGAATATAATAAACCCAATGGGAATAGAAACTCAGCTCTCTGATTAACAATTCTAAGCCATTATCCATTACATCTGGTATTTCCAAGCAGTCACCCATCTACATACTGACCAAGCTTGACATTGCTTAACTTTGGTGGTTGTATGGGAACCAATGTTTCAACATGATGAAGACATAAGCCTGAGGTGAAAAGGAAAGGAGAAAAGATATACATACATAGCCATGTTTTTTTTTTTTAGGTAAGAGCAGGATTAATCTTGCACAAAGCATAGTAGGTCCTACCTGACAGAGGATTTGTCATAATGATTTTTGAGGTAAGGTTTTTACAAGGCTGAATGTCAAGTACACCACTGATTGTTTTTATCAAGACACCATCTCTAGAAAGTTTACCATTCAAGGCTTGGGACCCTACCCTAACCTAACCTTATATATATATATATATATATATTTATATGTGTGTTGGGGGTGGATTTTGGTTCCTATAAGAAGCTCATACACCCTTTGGCAGGTCTTGTTTTTGCACCCTGTATAGTAACATGCCATCCTCTTTACCAGCAGAAAAGCTAGTGGGAGAGTTAGTTTAGACATCAATCACTTACCCATGTGGCAAGTTGTACTAGGTTACATGTTACTTATAGCAGGCTCAAATTACCTGTATTACCAATGTATACATTGGATCAAGATAGGATGTCTCTTGTAGGAAAGTCAGGGTGAATGAGTTTGATCTCAAAGATGATAGGGTTAGTTGCATCTCACACTGAAGTTTGCATCAGATTTATTGACTGAGGGGCTACTGAGAACTGCCTTGAGGGTCGACGAGTGGGACTTTTTAAGCAGGGTGGATATATGGCTCAGTATTTTTGTCATGTTATTGTTTTAGCGTATGAACTCTGACTGTTGTGCCGACCAACTGTCCAAGATGTCCCTTTGATGGGCTTTTATGTCCTTTTCGTAGGCTCAGATTGGCTCCAATTTCTATTTCACTTCCTTAGGCATGAGTTGGTGCTATTGGGTTAAAAAATTGGATTGTATTTTTTTTTTTTGGGGGGTGAGGAAAGCAGAAATTGTGTGAGGAGCTGATGTACACTTAATGGAATTTGTAGTTTGATCTTGGGTTTTGGAGCGTTCATATCTGGCCAGTGGTGGAAATTTGTGTAACATGAATCAGAAGATCTTGTTTTTAGGAAGATTATAGCAAAAACAATTCTTGTAAAAATTAATTATTCATCGAAAAAAAAATTCTTCTTAAGGCAATAGTGTCCTTAATAAATCTTATTTATCAAAGCAATTAAAAGCTTTTCTAATTAAATAATGTCATAGTTTTATAATAAAACTTTTATTACATTTTTAATTTCACAATTCAGAGCAGATTTTCGGTGAAAAGGGGAAATGTTTTATAAAAAAAAAAATTTTTATGATTTACTTTCTCCAAGGAGTCCTGCTTTTAGTTTTAACTAATAAAAAAATCCTCGCCCTAAAAATTGAATTTCTCGAAATTTCATGAAATTATGTAAGTGGGTGGTAACATATTTAAAAAAAAAAAAATTACTAAGATTTAAAAAAAAACATTTTCATCATGATATGCCTTTTCTCCCTGAAAAAGTGGAGGTACCTAAAAAAAAAAAAATCTCAAACAAAAATGTCTGCAGCGTGTCTTTAAAAAAGAAGTTTTGCATTCATTTTTTCCCTAGTTTTCTTCAAATTTTGTTAAAGTTGAATGAATGATTCATTTTCTTTAGATGTGAAATTAAACTGCAATAATTCAACAAAATAAATTACTTCGGACGAAATTTACACGAATTACCTCGGAAGATCGTATTTAAATTTCATGGACAACATCACAGCATCAAATTCGGAAGAGAGAAACCGTAAACGTGTTTCAAAGTGTTTTTTTTTTAAAGTTTGATTGAGTCGTCCATAAATTTTTTTAATCAGAATTTTCAAGGTCTGAAGTTACCACTTTTACTTTTAAAAAAAAATCTTTAACTCCGTTTCGACGTTTACATTATAAAAATGCGACAGTAGCAATTAGTCATTATAGTAGTAATGAATGAACAAAGAAAAGAATGTTAGTGAGAAAAAAGTAAATATTTGGACTCAATTAGGACCTTAAAAAGTAAAATATTTTGAAATATAAAGCAACTGCAACTGTGAGCATAGCCTTAGTTTAGTGATCTTAGACTAGAGTGTGAAAAATCAAAAGAATTAAGTGCAAAAAAAGAGTATTTACTTCCTTTTAAGAACTGAATACATGGTCTAAATGTCGGTTTTCGTAGTTGTGAACTGTGCATATACACCGGCTTTTTGTAGTAGGACAGGCGTTGTGTTTACACCGGTTATTAGCAAAGACAATTTCCCACCTCCTAACGTGTATGAATTTCTTTGCATTTTTTTCATGGTTTAATACGGTTTTCTTACTGCATACAGATGTAAGTATTTTTTTTTGTTTTTCTTATATATTTAGAGAATAATGTAATGTAGTTTGAAGATTAATTTTGTTTAAATTTACAACATAACGGCCTTGATCCTGAAATTTTCGATTTTGTGCAATTTTCATACTAGAAAAAAAAAACACAAATAGTAATTTGCATATTGTTTGGTTATTTTCAAGTTTTGTATGTCTTTAGTTTTAGTAACTTGGGCAAATTTTTTTTTCAAGAAAAAATATTTAAACGATTGAGATGTTTTGTGTTTAAATGAAATATAGATATTTTTTTTTGTTTTATATTTTTCTTACTTAGGAAGAGAGGTGGTGATTTTAAATTACCTTTTTTAGTTTTTGACTTTTTTGAGTAAATAAAAAAAAAAACGCTCTCTAAAAATAAAATAAAAATAAAACAGTTTGAAAACAGAATGAAATTCTTTCCATCACCAAAAAAGAATTGATCAACAAACATGGTTAACAACTTAAATGTAATTTTTATTTTTCAGGCTACACACACATGGGCAAGGTTATCTTCTAATTTAGCGTTCGAAACTTTTTTGACATGCCAAATTTTGAAGTACCGCCTTTAGATATTTTTTTTACCTAGTTTTATATTCTGATAATGGAATGCATGTTGTATTAATTAAAAGGTAAAGTAATCTAGGGGAGGTGTTTCGGACACTATGGAAGATATCTCCCGAAAGTAATTGGGTGTTGGTTTTTCCCGTGGTAGTTTTATCTATATTCTTAAAAAAAAAGTTTAAAATTTCGCAATTTACCTTTGGATGCAACAGAAGATATTTTAATATACAACTGAAATTTATTGACTAGAATAGTTTTGATTAAAAATCGGCGCTGCTGTTTTTACTGAAATGTTCTATTCAGTATTTATCATATTAAAATTGAATATAACCCGAACCTGTATGTATTTCGTTCGATAAATAACATTACCGATCTTCCTCCTACATACCGAAATAATCTACTCAGAAACGAGAATTTATTTTCGATTAATTTTTTAACTTCATTTGAAGTGCTTGTTTAATGTTTTGTAATTTATATTATTTAGTTTAGATTTAATAACTTGCAAATTAAAATTTCTATGGGGTATTTCACTTTGGCTTAAGGAAACAGATGTTGAGAATAATAACGTGGACGGAGTATGTAAGCAACGAAGAAGCTTTAAAGAGAAAACAAAAAGGGCAGTTATACATAAAATCAGGAGACAGTTTGGAAAACATAATGAGAAAAGAAGGTCTGGAAATGTTGACACTCATAGGACATAATTGAAGGTAAAAGGCAGAGGGGGAAACAACGATTAACCTACCTAACGAGTTTGTGTTTTTAATGAATGTTAAGATATGAAAGGAGAGGAATAATAAAAAGACAAACATTGTTAAAACCTACAAAGGATAGGAAATTGTGGAAAACCAAGGTTGCCCATATCCTGAAGCGTAAAAGCACATACAAGAGAAGATAGGGTATTTTGTATTCCAAAATAAATATCCGGAAGCGAAATTCCCCTCCCCCATTCAAAATACTCTCAGCAGTAGACTTACCATAAAGTGTTTAGTTTTCATGAACCAACATCCCTTAAGCTTCAGGGCTGACATAGATACATAAACACATCGCAAGGACATGATAATCCTAATCCTTAGTTGTTTTAATTTATAAATAATAAAGAATGAACATCTTAAATTAAAAAAAAAAAAATGATAGATGATAATTTTCATGTTTTTAATAAGATATTTAGATTTATTTTAACATGACTGAATTACCAAAAACTCTATGCCCTTCAAATTAAACTGAATGTCCTAAAGAAATCTTAATTTGTAAGTATTTAATTGAAATAATACAAAACAAGTAATTTCAATGAAGTTAACGAAGTATTTATAGGATGCAATTTTTACTCATTTTCTTTTTTGATGTTATTTGCATATATGAGGAAATTTAAGAGACTATCTAGAGAAATGTATGCTTACCCATATTAGAATGTGCTAAAATCTGTATTGACTGCAGGTATAACAAAATATAATAATGACTCAAAACTGAAAACTATAAATTGCTCAATGTGTTATATAACTTGATTGCAACACAAAGATAATTTTTATCTATAAGTCTTAATATTTTTACTTCTATTTGTCATAACTTTTTAGCATGAGAATTGTCAAAACACTAAAGTTAAAAAAAAACATCTTCGATTAAAAATAATAACAATTTTTAGCATTTAAATTTATGATTACTTGGCATTCTTTTTATAAAAAAAATCTAAATATTTTAAAACCTTTGTTTTGCCAGTGATGGGATGTCTGTAACTCACTCTTACATTCACTCTCCATTGCATCTATGTCTAATATATTCATATACCAGTAGATAAAAATATCTGTTCAGTGTTATTTTCAGGATGGGTTGCAATATTTCATGTTTTAGTAGGGTATTTTGATAACAATACTGTGTTAATTCTAATGTGCAATTGACCATTTCTGTTACAGGGAGATGAATTTTCTCAACTTTTTTTGATTCTTAAATAAAATCTACTGCACTTTTTCTTTTTCTTATTGGATCTTATCAAGGGGCTGTTTGAGTTGTTCACAAGGTAATTAATAAGATGTATTTGGTATCTTATTTTGATGAATATACATGATTTATTGAGGTTTAACTTTTTAATATGTACTTCAAAGTTCAATGCAGAATTTATGGAACAGTTTTTGTAAAATAATTTTTTTGATATGACAGCAAGACTGAAGTTTGAGTTCCTTGAAATCTTTTTAACTGAATAATTTTATATAAATAATGTTAAATAAAATACAAGGAATAGTAATGTAGGTTTCCACATTGATGACAACCTTGGCGCAATCCGCATTGGCAAGTATCACAAGAAAGACTAGAAAAAGGCAAGAGATAAAAAAAACAAGTACTCAACACCTAAACCTTTCTCTTTCCTCTCTCAAAAATGGAGATCAGAGGAGATACCATGAAAAAGAAGCACTTCCATTTTCTCAATAGGACTGACATATCATTTTCTTAATGAGAGTTGAGGAAAAAAGCTAGAAATAGATATCTATTAAAATATATTTACCAAATGGACAGAGAGGATTTCATATGGAATATCAGCTCTATATATATTAAGAGTTTTGTCTACCCATATAATACCCTCCTTGTAAGACTTTAATTTTCAGATTGCTTGTAGAAGTCTCAAGAGATAATTTAGTCCTCATATGCCAGGCAACTAAATCTTGTGAATATTTTTTATGGTTATAATTTTCATAAAAATGTCAGTTGAAATTTATTTTTAAAAGTTTTGATTCTCTTCATTTAGAATTATAATTTTTCTACTATGAATAACTTAACATTTAATTTGACTTAACATTAAGTCAATCTTTTTTTTTTTTTTTCTTTTTTTGCTGGAGTGTGTAATATTTGGACATTTTCTTTTAACAAATTAAGTTTATTAATCTTTCATAACATTTCAAATTTTTATATATGGTTAGTGATTGAGAATGGCTGAGAAGCATGAAGGCAAAGTTAGCAGCACACTAGGTGCCGATTCTATGAAGGTAATTGCTGAATCCATTGGAATTGCTGGTCTTCCTGATGATGCTGCAAGCCAACTGGCTGAGGATGTCAGCTACAGACTAAAACTACTTATTCAGGTAAGCTTCTGTGACCGCTTGTCTAGAATTGTCTTTATATTCAAAGGAACAGTTAAGATTTGAAATAGCTAGATGTTCAAGGGATAACTAAGATTCAAATGTTGGATCATGATAAAAATCCTCTTTAACAATGAGTTAAACATTCTCATTCCTATATAGTATAAAAATCAACATTTGCATAATAGTAAAATTTTATGAAATTCTTCTTAATTTGCTTTTATGTTGACTTGTTAATTATCCTCTTTATCAATGTATCTGCCATTTAATTTAAATTTGTTTTATTTTATGTTTGTAGGAAGCTGTCAAGTTTATGCACCACGGTAAACGTAACAAGCTGTGCATCACTGATTTTGATATGGCTCTCAGAATCAAAAACCTTGAAGTAAGTCTCTTTTGATCATTTTTACTCTGAATATTTAAATGCCTCTTCTACATTCTAAACAGATTATCATTCATTTTACTTCCTCTTATTTATTTTCTATAAAAGTTTTTCAAAATACTTCATGGTATTCAATTGTTTGACCAAACAAGAGTTATCCCAGATAAATCTTCTTCTACCCTGCACAAATCATTTTATAATAAATTTACTTGGTTTGATTTTTTAATTCTTTTAATATGTAAAAAGATTGGTTTCTTTTTGTAATATTTAGATTTGTAGGAATTCAACAAATTTAAATTTGGTTCAGATTTTAATGTTATGAAATACATAATTTGCGTCTATATCTTTTATGTAATTACTTATTCTAAAAGTGTAAGTGTAGTGTTTTACTTTTTGTCTGTAAAGCCAATTATAGTAAAGATTATAATATTCAATATCTGCTGTCAGGTTAATTAAACTTGTTACACTACTAGAAGAACCATGCTAATAGTAAGGTAAGTTTTTTTGTGTGTTTTGTAGAATTTTAAAGTTAAAAGCAGTACCTTATTAATAAATTGTTTAATAAGTCATATTTGTTAAGGTGTTATATGATTCTATTCTTACAGGAAGAGACCAACTTCAGAGTAGGATATTGCAATAAATTAATGTTTGATTTATGTTTTTTTTTTTTGTTTGTTTTTTGTCAGCCATTATATGGCTTCCAGTCAAAAGATTTTATACCATTCCGTTATACAAGTGGAGGTGGCCGTGAGCTCCATTTCCATGAAGAAAAAGAACTTGACTTGAATGAAATCATCAGCAGTCAATTTCCAAAAATTCCTCTGGATGTTTCTCTGAAAAGTAAGTAAATCATATTAATGTCTCTGGCCAAATATTTGACTTAATCCAATCATGTAATGATGGTCGTATTGAATGGCCATGCTTCTAGATCATTTCACATTAATGCAGAGATTTCTCCAGGGCTCTTCCCTTGGACCTATTTTGTTTCTTATCATCAATAATCTTTCCAATGTCATCAGTTACCAACTAGGCTTACAGTTACATCATGTTGAAACACCAGTACAATCACTGAAGTTAAGCAAACATTGAGCATGGTCAGTATCTAGATGAGTGACCACTTGAGAATAACAAGTACTGTAAGCTTGGATGTCCAGGTGGCGTAATGGACAAAATGCTCGAAATTGTTAATCAGAGAGCCTAGTTCCAGTTGGGTTCATTATTCACCTACACACAAAAGCCCTTGGGAAAGGTATGAATCCACCTCTTCTACCCCAGCTATGGGATAATTAGTAAGACTTGTATCACTGAATCATTATCATAAAAAAAAAAGTTCTTGCAATCTAAAAATATTTTCTGTTTTTAAATAACCCACAAAGGGTAGAAAACGAATCAATCAAATCAACTTAAATCAATTTCCAGCTAAGTATATATGCTGTTGACACAACTATTTACATTTTTCTCACTAGTAAGTCTGATATGTTCCTTAAAGTAAAACTGGCAGCTGCTCTTGAAAATAACCTCAAGTTAGTTGTTAACTGGGGCAAGAAATTGCTTGTAAATTTTAATGCCTCTAAAACAAAACTGCTATCATTTAATCATCATAGAGAATCATTTTTGTTTTCCATCAACATGGCTGATGCTAACCTCCAAAAGAGCAACTCATTGAATCTTCTTGGTTCAACATTTTCCAATGCCATGAAGTGAGGTGATAATATTAAATCAATTCTTAGTTCTGCTGCTAGGAAAGTTGGTTCACTGTGTTGTGTCAGACAATTTTTCTTACTAGAATCCATCTTGCACATTTATAAATATACTATTTGTCCATTCATTGAATATTGCTGCCATACTTGGTCTAGTGCTCCTGATATATACCTCAAGAATTTTGACAAAATCCAAAGAAAGGTTTGTAATGTTAAGAATACTACTAGATTGGCAACTCAGTCTGTGTTTTACAGTTGAACTAGCTAGATGTAACCATAAGTTTTATTCAAATTTTTTTTTTTTTTTTCACCTGTGGAACTCACTTCCAGTTTCCCTGCCATCTATATTCTTCAAAAGTTTAATGCAATGTCAGTGGCCACCTTCCGTCTTCCTGAATCCTGTTTTTTATTGTCCTTTCTCATTAAAGTTTTCTCATTTTCTTTCACTCCCAGTGACCCTTATCTTGTTTGGGGTGAAATGGTTTTTAAAAAAAAGTTACTTGCTGCTTGCTTGTTACTTTGCTCCAATGGATAAAATTTACCTTTTTCCTTCAATGCAGTTCAGTAAAAGGGTTTAGATAAAATTTTAAGTTTTCTCTTCTTAATCTTAATAGTATATTTAATCTTGAACCTTAAAGATAAGCTATCATGAAAAATAACTTCATTCACAAAATTAGATTTTTCAAAATTTATATAGAAAAATTAGATTAGCATACATAATATCAGCTAAAAATGTATGAATTTCTTGGAAGAAAGATAAATTGCACATTTTAAAGTCTACATTATTTTTTGGGTGCTACTATAGCATGAGGTCTACCTCCCGTTTGACGTGTTGAACCTCACCTGACTTGATGGCCATATTTTGGGGAGGGGCATGGCATACTGAAGTAGACCTCATGCTATAATAGCACCTTTTTAGGTCACTCTAAGCAAGTTTCTTTGTTAGATTTGATTCTATATAATAGTAGGAGGATAACTGGATGATATTTAAATATTGATAAATTTTAGATATTTTCTAAAATTGTTTTTGGATTCCTAACTAATTATACTAAGAATATGTTGATCTGTTTTGGTAATTATTTATTACAAATTTAACAGCTACATGGAAAACAATTATTACAATATTATTGTCCACATTTAAATGTAAACTTATTTTACATAGAAGCTATCTTTTAGTAGATATAAGCAATTTCTAATATCTGACAGCACTCTGTTGTAAATTAACATGTCAGAATATATAAACTTCACTTAATTTCATTGGATTATTTTCTTTATAAAATTCATTCCAGAATTAGGAAGAACTTTAGAATATTTATTGCCTTAAAGATAATTCTATAAAGACTAATTATTTTCATTGGAAGATGACAATAGCAAAAAAAAAAAAAAATTCTAACTAAAATAATGCTTTTACAGATCAAGCTTCTTACTTAATATTTTTATCAAATCTCTTTTGTATTTTTTTTCATTAAAATATATAATAGTCATGAACAAGTTAAGTCTTTGATACTTCAGTTTAGCAACATAAAATACTCAAATGTGTATGCTTGTAATTTATTATATAGAGAATAATATTTTGTATAGTAAAATAAAACATTTTACAAGCATATTTACATAGCTAGTCTAATATGATAATGAAAAAGTTTTACAAAGTAATGTGATTTTGTTTTTTTGTTTTTTTCCAGTTCATTGGTTGAGCATTGAAGGTGTCCAGCCTGCTATTCCTGAAAACCCACCACCAGCTTCTAAAGAGCAGCAACAGAAAGAAAGCTTTGATACTTCTATTAAGGCAGTAATTGACAGACTACATAAACCCAAACCCCACACAGACTTGGCCAAAGCTAGAATGAAACACAAAAGTGCTAATACTGCCAAATTGAAAAATCTTATTATTCATGAGCTTTCTGTTGTAAGTGTTTTATTTATTTATTTATATCAATTTCAGAGGAACAGAATTAGCAGTTATGGCATTGGATTGAATATGACAATAAGTTTTCATTAATGATTATTGTAAGGTGTCACTATTAATTCATTGTAATAAGCTTTTCAGCTTCAATACTAAAAAAATATTTTATGCAAATCTATTGAAAGTTTTCATATAATAACATGAAATTTCTTGATAAGCTTTAATTTTTTATTTATGCTTCATGTAAATGTATTTTAATTTAGTTACAGTCAAATATCCCATAATTTTTAATATTTGCCTCCATGTATAGATAGATATTACTTTTTTCTTTTTTGTTAGGAACAACAATTATATTATAAAGAAATTACCGAGGCTTGTGTTGGTGCTGATGAACCAAGACGGCAGGTAGGAATATTTTGATACTATCTCTGAATATTTAAAATTCAAGTTTTTTGCCTTCATATTGTGGACAATATTGTGTGTATTGAGAAAAAATTAGGTGCTCACATTCTTTGCCGTAAATTTCCTATTTGATTAGCTCTGAGCGACTTTCCAGTTTTTTAAGAATATTTTTATTGACCGGTTAAATACATACTATTGAAGTATTTAGCCTTTATAGGGCTGTTAAAAAATTCATGTCTTTAAAAAAAAAAGTCAGTGTTGAGTTTGTCTATTTTATTTAGGTACCTCCACGAAATCGCTAAAAAAGAGCATAGCTTGATGAAAAGACGCGTAAAACTTGCTTAAAAACTAAATTTTATTGTCTAAATGCTTATGTTATTATTAAGAGGAAAGACCAAAAGTTTTTTTTTAATTATTTTAAAAATTTTCCTTCTTTTAGAACATTCTAAATTTTGATTAAAAAACCTTTTTTCTATTTGTATCAGCGGAACTAGTAAATAACATAGACAATTTTTAGCACGTTTTTTTGGTATGACACACATTAATTTGAAAAATCATGCAAAAATAGAAATAATTATCGGATGTTAATGAAACTTTCAGAAACTATTCAGATGATCGAAATTATTATAAATATGTTTTTTTTTTTATGAAAGTCATGGTAGAAATATTTTTTTAAAAATATTTATTACCCCCCCCCATAACTAATTTTATGAAAACGCTAGAAATTTGATCGCATCGGTTTTAGTGATTACAATAATTAAAAGCACAGGGCTTTGAGGAATGCAAATCATGTTTTTTTTTTTTTGTTTTTAATTGGATACGCAGTACCTGAAAATCAGCTCTGAATTGTAACATACAAAACTCAATAAAACAAAGATTTTATTTAATTTCAAATGCTTTTATTTGCTTTTAGTTGTTTTTATGAATATGGACAATATTTTCTGAAAGCAAAAAAAATTTTTTTGATGAAAAATGAATTTTTAATACAATTATTTGTTATTTCATTAATTATAATAGATTTTACATTTAAGTTGTTAAAATATTATAAAATTAGTTAAAAGTCGCATTGGCTTTCATAAGTGTCCTTATGAGATAGATCTTTTTTAGCGTTGTAAATTGTATCATTTTGACTAATCAGAAGATCCCCAGTAATTAAGAAATGTAATTTTGTGCTTATAATCGAGCTGTAATTATAAAAATACGGAAGACCAACCAGAATATAATTAAGTTACGTTATTTGAGTTAAGCATTGTTCTCCGCTGTTAAGGCCTTTACTTTTTTGTGAAACACATGTGGAGAAGTTAATTTGATTTTTCAATTTCAACTGAGAAGGGTACCTACAAGTATCAGTATCATCTTATGAAATTTATATGATCTTATTTTTATATTAATCTCAGTTTCGACATTTTTCCATAAATGAAATATCAAAATTAATAATAAAATGAATGCAAATACAAATAACAGTAAAATGTAATAAATATACATAAAATTATAGTATTTTATGTACAATTCTGATAAAATTTCATAAGAAAGGTACCTATAAATTAATTAGATACCTTTCTTAAGAAATATGAAATTTAATGTCACTCTTAACAGTTTTATTTTAATTTCTTTAGAATATATTTCCCATAAAGCATCATAAACGTAAAGGTGAAAGCTAAGTACAAAAAAAAAAAAAAAAAATTAGACCGCTGAAAGTTTTTCGTTAAAAATAACGGGGTAAATAATTTGTTCACGTAAATGTAAATTATTTCACTTTTCTCCTTCCGTAGAACAAATTAGCCTCATGGAATTGTAAATATATCATTCATCACATGTCAAGAGACGCGAAAGTTTATGACCTGCTTTGTTTTATTTTCAAATTACATCTTTTTGGCACAAAAAGCTAAGTTAAGTTTGGTTCAAAATATTTTAAATAAACATTATAATTTCTGATTTTCTTAAAATAAGTTTTGAAAAATGATAATTGATATTTAAAAAAATTTCAAAAGTCAGATTTCCATTTTTTTTTTAAAATGGAAAAAATGGTCAATTTTGCTGACTCAAAAAAAAACTAGATTTTTAACGAAAATTTCGGACGTGCTAGGAACGATTAAAAAATGGAAAAAATACCCCAAAATACTTTGACCTTTCCTCTTAATAATAACAAACATTTAGACGATAAAATTTTGTTTTCGTCAAGTTTTGCGTCTTTTTCATCATGCTATGCTCTTTTTTTAGCGATCTCGTGGAGGTACCTAATTTTATTTGTTCAGTTCAAGTCTCCAATTTCACTTAAAAGATAAGTTATTTATATTGTAAAATGTAAAGTATAAAAATTCAAGATACCTTTTTGAAATACATTTGTTATTAATACTCATATTATTAATACAGTGATTTTATACCTAAGAAGTGTGTCTTGAAATAATCTTCACAAGTTCAGAATTACAGCAACAAGAATAATATGACTATGTAACATAAGCTAAAATTTATTGAACACTAACAAGGAAAAACTATTAGCAGAGGTTTTGGTTTAATCAAGTGCCAAGTTCTTTACATATTTTTAGCTGTTAAAATAATTATATTAAAATATTATGGTATAAAATTATTCAGTTTCATCCACTGTGAAAAACAATGTTATGAGTTGAATAAAACTGTCCATAAAATTTAATGTTTTTGTATGTGTAATTTTTATTTTTTTAATTTATATAGGTTATAATGGTTAAAAATCATTTTAAAACTCATCTCTGTTAGTTGAGTTCTTTTGTAATTCTTTTCTCCTCACTACATTTTTTTAGTTAATTTTTTTTTTTTTTTTTTTTTTTTACACCTTTTTAATTTTTCAGCAAGCATTGCAAAGTTTGGTATCAGATCCAGGACTTCATCAAATGCTGCCTCGATTCAGTACTTTTATATCTGAAGGTGTTAAAATCAATGTGGTGCAGAATAACCTGGCACTTCTTATTTATCTCATGAGAATGGTGAAATCTCTCATTGATAATCCCAATTTGTACCTTGAAAAATATGTGAGTACATTTTTCTACATTTTTTGTTTCCTTATTTCAAATATTTCTTTTCGTAAATGTTTTCAGATTAAGATATATGCACAATGGGGTTCAGAAAAGTTCTCAGTTTGACTATGAAGAGATCCATTACTAACAAGAAAAAAAAATTTCATGTTCAATCATTTGATTAGATTTTGGACAATGGCCATGCCCAAATCATTTTCAGCATCCCCTTGTGTGTGTGTTATATATATAAAACAAACATCTCACCCTAAGCAAGACATTAAAGCCATTAAGACACAAAGGGGTACTGAGTACAAAAGCATATTAAGAAAACAGAAAATAATGATTGACATTGCATTTAAATTTTTGAAGATCAAAATTTACTGGAAAGCACGGGATTGGAAGAGAGCTACACCAGTGAGAAGTGTAAGAGAAGAAACTGTTAGCATAGTTTTATATATTAGTTATTAGGTTATTATCTATGATCTGTACCTCCAATAATTCTTTGCATTTATCTTCATACGATCATCAATTTTGAAAGTATCTATATTTTACTGCCTCTAATACTAGCTCAAAACATTATCCTACTTCCCCTACTATTGTTTTCTAAGTTGTTTTGATTGACTATTTCAACTTGTAGCCCAGTCATCAGGTCCATCCAATGTAGCTCTACAACTCTACATTCATCACTAAATATTACTGTTGAGAAGTCAGTTTTCACATACTTCTTGACTTAAACATTTCTTTTAGTAATGTTTACTTATAAGTGATAGTTTGCTTGATTTCATTAACCAATGTTCTTAATATTCTGCATCTTTTCACGGTTTTAGTAAAAACTAGCTTTTTTCTTATCAAATGTTTTCTTACTTATCATTCCATTTTTCTTAATACCCCATTTTTTCTCAAATCTATTTCTGTGTTTTTTTTTTTTTTTTGGTTTTTTTTTTTTTTGGTTTTTTTTTTTGGTTTTTTAGAAATTCCAACATTGTGTGTTCATATCACTCAATATCCTGTACCTCTTTTGAGGTTATATCTTTCTTACAGCACATTGCAATTTTTATATATTTGAAATAAAAAAATAATGATCAATAGCCACCTTTATTCAATTATTTCCAATACAATGAACAACACTTGAATTGCAGAATAAAATTTAACACCAGTGATAAGTTATTGTAACTATTTCTACCAAAAGCAGATATTATAAGTCAAAGTTCACATTGTTTATTTACCATATAAGTAAATCCTGAAAATTTTTATCAACATTGGTTGGCTAAAACCAATTTTATTCTGAAAATTTTGACTTACATAAAATATGACATTGTGTATATATTCTTACTGTTATGATGCAAACATTATGCAGCTTAAATCACATAGCTAAAAACTAATAAGAAATATTTGAAAGAAGAATATTAAAAAGTTTCTTTAATTTTGTTATTAGAGTAAAAGCAATTTTTAATTTCTATTGGCATTAGTAATGTTTTAAAATTTTTTTTAAAGTCATCATAGAGTATTATTATGTGCCTTCTATTTGGACCAGCCTGTACATCTTAATTGTTGTACTCACATTTCAGTCATTTAAACCTTTGGTTTTCTTCACGTGTCTCTCTTGGACATCTGGTCTAATGGATCAAAATATTAGTTAAAACATATGTTGAGTGGTGAGTTCAATCCCTGGGTCAAGCAGTATTGAAAAGTCATATGCTCTGGTTCAGTGGAAGAGATGGACAAGCAACACAAAGGCAAATATGCAAGAATAATAGTAATAATATTGCTAGGAGATATACCAATAGCATAGAATGAACTCTCTATCACAATAGATTGAATAAAGGGTTCAGTTCAAAATTCTAATGAGTATGACAGACATCTGAAGAAGGCTGGTTTGTGCTGTGGCTGAAATATTGTGAAAGGGTTTTTTAATTTTTAACTCCATTATATATAGGGTTAGTATTCAGATTTCTTTACTTAACTTTATTATTTTCAAATTAATATATAATGAATATTTAAGATTTGTGTTTACACCCATCTTAAAAGAAAAAATATAACTGTACCAATTGAATTTTATAGAATTAAAAAACTCAATTTTTGGAGAAATATGTGTGCAAAATCCATGTCAATGAAGATGAGTTTTAACAAAACTCCATTACCCTACATTAATGCTTGAACTCACCTGAAATAGTTGGATAATGTCAAAAAAAAATCAACATTGCATAAAATTAATTTATTTAATTTACTTTGGTATTTCAGCTCCACGAAATTGTCCCTGCTGTGACAACATGCATTGTTAGTAAACAATTGTGCTTGAGACCAGATCTTGATAATCACTGGGCACTTCGGGATTTTGCAGCCAGACTCATGAATAACATTTGCAGGTAATTTAATGACAGTCTCTTGTATCATATTTCTTCAACATTAACTTACATTTTAAAATAAAACATCAGTTCTTCTTGAAGATGAAACCTAAACTATATTCACTACTAATTACATTTCTTTTACTTACTACCTATCATATTTGTTACAGTTTGGAAACATTAATTTTAAGAAACATAAAACATAATTTACATTTAAGCAGATTTTTGTTATTGAAAACACTGTCATGGTTACAATGTACTTAAAACAATTATAGTATCATGCACCAATGTTCCATTTTTAGAAAATGGTAAAAATTACAGTAACAGCATTTGAAGTATAATTTATCATTTTAGTCTTTGTGTTTGTAGGGTCAGTTTAACCCAGATTAAAAATGAAAAATTAAAATCCAAGCGTTGTGCCCACAAATACAACATAATACGAAGAAATGATTTTTTTTTTTTTTTTTTTACATAGGCATGAAGGAAAGCCAGTTTGAAATAATCATATATTGATGTACACATTAACATTTGTTTTTACATGGTAAACATTGTTTGTTCTGGTTGTAATCAAAGTTCAAATGTTTGCCAAAATTTTCCATTTGTTAAAGGGTAGTTCATAAAACCATATTCCTTGGTCAATATAAAGTGTGTATATATGTGCATGTGTCTGAAGCACATTTTATCAGAGTATATGTGTGGCTGCTGACTCTGTATGTGGGTGGTGAAGCACATTAGTAGAATCATTGTGTATGAGTACTAATACATGGAATTCTGATTATGATGGTTCCAAAAGAAAACAAACATACAGATAGATGATCAGACTTACTTTTTTTTCCACAGCTATGACCGTCCTGGGTATGACGATAAACTACATCTGCGTCTTGGGTAAGATGATAAACTACGTCCAGCAGCAAGGCCTCTGATCAGAAGGTTTTGAGGAGCATGGAACCACCTCTTAATTGCTGGTGTTCCCAGGTCCACTCTGACCCGGGGTGGTAGCACCTGTTAGGGTCCCAGCTATGGGCAAATAGTTAACACCAAAACTGGGGTAAAAACACTATGAAAGTGTAAAAATAGGTTTTAATACCAGAAATACTTTGTAAAAAAAAAAAAAACTATTACCAGCAATACATCTTTGACAAAACAAAATATTAGCAGCAATAAAAAATTTTGTTGGCATTAAATAACCCATTGATGTTGATATGTCGTAAAACAAACCAAACCACGGCTATGAATATTCCTTTAAATGGTGAGTAGTCATCACTGACTGAGTTGTTGTCATGGTAATGAGAGAATTCTGGTTGGGTGTTTACAGATTCAACCACCTGCCATCAACAGGTGATCCACATCCAGGTTCTTGCTCCATGCGGTTTTATTACTACCCCCCCCCCAAAAAAAAAAATCAATGTATAAATAGTTATCCTGATCATGTGGTTGGCTCCAAACAAAAACTTTTCAGTTTTTGCAGGATAGCACTCAGCAAACAGTTCATTTGGAGTTCAAATGTACAGATACAGTTGGAAGCATAGCACGTGACTGGACTGTCCAATCAAATTCCAGAAACCACATTTAATTTTGGATCACTTTTTTTCTTTTCTTTTTTTTCTTTAACAAGGTTTTTACAAAAAATTTTGTTCTAGTGATTCTGATCCTATTTTTGTGTGGGTGTTTCTTACTTATTTGTGTTTCACCTATTGGCTGTAAAATATAGGATTTTATATCCTATATGTTAAAACAGGAGCTTGCTTAACAGAGTGACAGCACTTCACCAAACAAGAAAATTTTTACTGAGGAGAAATTTAAAAAGAACTTAAATACTGCTTAATAATTAAATCCATGGAAAGGAAATAAGCTACTTCCACTGTTTAAGACACATCCGTTAAGCTGTGGAGTAGGGGTCAAGGATGGTGAGTTCAGTTTTATGTAGGAGTCAGCATAATTAACAGCTCTCCTCTTTTTCACTTTTTCATGTAGATCATAGTGGCAGCTTATTTATCACACATGAGTTGATATAATTCCATTAATCTTCTTATCACAGTACCATGTAAAGACAGCTTGGTCATGCTTTGATGGGAAGTTTCCCAGTTTCATTAGCTCTTCTCAAGAAGCATCATTCAGTCTATATATGCATTTATTTAACTTCCATATATAACATTCAGAACTTCAGCTTCTGGAGGAATTTTCAGAAAGACTATCCTTTCAAATTGCTTCCATTGCAAAATTCTGTCTTGATATCCATAGAATGACATGTCCACCTCAAAGCCACAATGATTGTCAGGATAATTCATAGGTGCTCCTTTGAGCAAGTAGGTGAGTCACTAACATATCCTGAGTCTTCATCTTGTAATTCTTTTGCATCCAATCTAGCCTTTATTTTAATTTCCTCTTTTGTCTTTTTTTTTTTTTTTTTTTTGTGCAAATCCATCTTGTTACAATTTGGGCCTGAGTTTAATACAACAGAATACACTTTGTTTTCAGCCCAGCTATGTAATTCTTTCTTTTTACCTTCAGCATATTCTACAATATTGACTGTTAAAAGTAAGCTAATTTCCTTGTTTGAAAATTCCTCTTCAAGAAGAGCACTTTCACAAGAGTCTTTCTGTAGATTTTCTTTTTTATAGTCTTTCTACTCTACCACATTTTTTTCTAAAATTGAGCCAAAATAGGTCTTTTCCCCTCAATATATACATTTAAAATATTTTTGTTTTTGCCAGTCACTTTTCCAGCAAAAAGGATAACTTTCATTTTCTTTCAAGAAGGATCATTGTCTGATGCCACTTTGCGCATTATCTCTTGCCCTATTCTTAGTAAAATTACATTATCTGCCTTCACAGATTTTTTTTTTGATGGACATCCAGCCTTTTTTTGACTCCTGACTGCTACTCAATTCATGAGTTTTTGCATTGTCACTCATGGAAGGACTAATATCTCCTCCTTCACGTGAACCATCCACAGCATCCTCAGAATCTGTATTTTGACTATCTTGATCTATCCATGAATCATTTTCCAAATTTTTCTGTGTTGGAATGATCCTTATCAGTTGTGGGCACATTCAACTACTCAACAAAATCATTTTTATACATCTGAAGACAACATTGAATGGACTTTAACATAGCTTCCTCTATGCTTGATCAACACCTGCTTGTTTTCAGTTGAAATAACTGTTCCCGGTCCCATCCAACAGTTTGATTCATTTCTCTTAAAATATATGAGATCTCTGTTTCTATATTTAATAGCAGTAACAGGTCTCACCTTTTGGCGCAAAGCTCTTCAAATTTTTTCAGATGACTACCTGGATAAAGGCCTTTCTTGCTGCATGCATAGCATTAAAGTTGTTAGCTATGGATTCACTTGATGTAATGCCTTCTAAAACTGGAGGTTTATTTATCAGAACAGAAGGCACATTAGGATTTTGTGCAAATTCTAGTTGATTTGGACTATAACCATTGACATTATGCAAAGTATTTCTGGAGCTCAGTGACCAAGTAATGGCAAGTTCCAAGCTGCAACCAGAGTCTTCCATAGTTTTGAGTACCATTTCATTAAGTATAGCATTGTGGTGCTCATTTAATCCATTGCTCCATGGACTTTGTACTGGTGTAGTTTATACAATGACATTTAAATTCTGGGCCATGTCTCTGAAAGCTTCATTATCAAATTGTGGCCCATTATCAGAAAACTAGGAAGAGGTCCAAAATATGCAATCCAAAACTGAAATACAATTTAAATAATTTATGAACTTTCTTTTGACTTTATTATAGAAGTTACACTGTATCTGGTGAAATCATCTATTAAATGAAGAATTTTGGTCCCTTTAATTTCTTTTATGTCTGTAGATACCATTTCATTGATGTGTTTTCCTAAAGAGATACCAACAATGGGCTTGGGTGGTACTCCCTTGTATTTTAAGCATAATTTCCTGAAGCTGTTTCATAAGTTCAACATGAAGAACTCTTGCATCTTTCAGGAGAGTACTCATTTTTTCATAACTTGGATGAGTAAAATGCTTGTGAAGTTTTTCTGTTAGTTTTCTTTTTTCTTTAATAAACTAATTTTTAACATCCTTAGTGCTGATTAGAACAATGCTTTTATTCTTTTTGAAACCTGGAGTGGCAAGAGGGATGTAACAATTTTCAGAGTTAGTGCAGAAAAGTTCTAACTTTTGGCCAATCATAGACACACTATCATTTTTAAAATTCAGAACAGTATTAGTTTTCTTCATAGCATCTTTGCTCAATAAAAGAGGTATATCAGCACAAATTTCAACATTTCCTTGCTAATATATAAGGTAACTTCACTTTGAATATGGATTTCAAGTGTTGGCCATTTTCAAATTTAGATGTAGCCTTACTATCCTCTGCTTTCATGTATCTTAACTTTCTCAGGCAAAGTACCTAGGTAACAATTATACCAAGTCAAACCACACATTGACCTGGAACAACCAGAGTTCAAAATCATGGCACCAATAGTTTATCCTGTAAGTGTACTATCCCCAGAGTTGTCATTCTTAAGTACAATATTGGATTCGAATATATCTTACTCATTTTTTTTTTCTGTCAAAGCCGTGTTGACAATGTTTAGCTTAGTGCATGGTAGATTCACAAATAGCACATCTAGAGGGTTTACCATCAGGTCAAAGAGGATTTTGTTTCTTTGTTTTATTCTTTTGATAATTGGTATGGCTTTGTCTTCTTTTACTGAATATATTGCCTCTATATGTATTGCCTCTTCATCCTCTATCATGATGATACTTGGACGCAGCTATACGTTATGTCCTTTATATCTGTGTATCACTATTTTTATCCAAAGATTGAGCTAAGTGCATATCTGTTGATTCAGACTTTATTTTATGGATTGCTGGAGAGGAAGTACTCATTAAAGTCTCTGGTCTAACATTCATCACTTTTTTTTTGTTTTGTTTTTTTATGATGATTTTCGTTTAGTATATTTTTCGAGATTTCCATACACCATCAGAGCTGCTCTGTTAGTATCCATCTTGAACAGAGTCCAACTTTTCATACAATAACTTCATTCCTTCCTCTGTGTTTAATTTATCAGGGTCCATTTCCACCACTGCTTCTCTGGGCTTTACCATTTAGACTCAAAAACACAGTTGGAACTCTGTTCCTCATATCTATATTTGTTGTCATTTCCCAGAACTTCATTTCTTTTTCTCCAAGCATGATACTTTTCTGGGATAAGCATTGGTGGGCGAAAAATCAATATTTGTTGCCATTTGTCTTTTTTTTATGATCTATGCTCTGATACCAGGTGTTAAAACAGGATCTTGCTCAACAGAATGACAGCACTTCACCAAACAGAAAAATGTTCACTGAGAAGAAATTTCAAAAAACTTAAATACTGCCTAATGGTTAAATCCACTTTGGCAGCAAGAGAAGTTACTGCCACTGATTGAAACATATCCATTAAGCTGAAGAGTAGAAGTCTAATTTGTTAGCCAAGGATAGTGAGTTCAATCTTAGGTAGGAGTCAGCATAGTTGACACTTTGTGTACTGAACATTAACAATATGTAAAATTTATTTGCTAAAATACTTAACATAGCAGTAGGTGTAATTTTGAAAATTTTAATTTTTGTTTATCTTTGAACAGTTCAATTTAATAAGACACCTAATGTTATTTAAATAATAGTGTCAACTTCAAATATTACAGCACACAGTTTTTGCTTGGACATTAAATATTACCTGAAATGTTTCCAGTCATCAAAATAAAAATATGCAAATGTAATGACAATTATGAAACAAAGGTAGTATTAGAATACTTCTAATGTTTTTGTCTTTTATTTTTAGGACATTTAACACTTGTCGCAATAATCTACAAACCAGAGTAACTAAACTTTTTAGTAAAGCTTTGCAAGCAGAAAAAATTCCATTATCTACTCAATATGGTGCTCTTGTTGGGCTTGGAGAGCAAGGACAAGAGGTAAGAAGGTTATCTGTAATTATTTTTTTCTTTTTCTTCATTTTACTTTATGAAAAGTAAAATAAAAGTGTAATAATTCTATAAATACAAAAAAGTTGTCATAAGATCTGAAAAGTAATTTAAATTATTATTCATTATGCAGTCTTCCTTTCAGAAAAAAGAGATCATTATATTACAGAGAAAAATCTTTGTTGGTCTGATAAGCATTACAAAAGTTATTGAATAAAATAAATGCTAATTTGTCATTTAATAGTTTTATTTATTAAATAATTCAGAAAAATTACTGATAATGCTAATATTGTTCTCTTCATGTTTTAAGTAAACTACCATAGATGTTTATACTCTTATTGCATAAACCATGAAAATTGGCAAATATCAAATTAGTGATATTCTTATCAATATATTTATCAATAAAAAAAAATATCAAGATACAAATTTTTGTCAGGTTTATGTTCCCAACCTCACTTAAGTTAGCTAAGTTAAACAATGAAGTTACCTTTATCTAATGTACAGAAATGTGAAATTATCTTCATATTTTTAAGATACGTTTTTGAGATTCATTAGTCATTTAACACAAATTCTTCACTTGTAAATAATTCATTTTATACATTAGATTAGGTTAATTTATTTTCAGATTACTTTCCAAGGGTATAATTTAAAATGATTTGTGAGACTAACCACTACACTACAAGTATTTTTAGTCAGTTCCACTTATAGATCTACTCTTAGAAATGCATTCCAGTGTATTTAGAGAACTAAATCTTTTAGTTACAAATTCAGTTATAGGTATTATGTAAAAAATATTTCATGAACTTTTACTACTGAAACTGTTATTTTATTAAATGTTTGCAGTGTACTAGTGATTGACTTGTGTTAGTTTGTATGTTATGGAAGTGCTTGTGTACTTGTTTTTATATATATATATATATATATATTATTTTTTTTTATAGAGCTTATTAAAATCCTCAATAACTAAGCTATTTTTTTACTTTTTATGTGTAGGTTGTGAAGACATTTATTGTTCCTCACTTAAAAATTCTTGGAGATCGTTTGAAGGCAGTCATCGACAGTCCAGTTGTTAACAGTTTAGATAAACTTGCTGTTGATCATGTTAAAAAGATTTTATTGGTAAGTTTTTTTTCTATCCCCTGATGGATTTATCAAGATAAATTTATGGATTTTATTTTGCAATAAATATTCATAAACAGGAATAAAAATGTCATGACACAAGAATTTATCAAATGCACTAGTCATACATAGAAATAAGTTCAGCCACAACTTTACTCTAAAGCATGCCACACTTATTAAAAAAAAAAGTAACTTATTTAGATGGAAAATTCTTGAAAGTGCTACTATTGAATCTTACCAAAATATAAATCTTCACCTCAGATTTTTTTAAATTATCTCCTTTCCTAAAAGAAATACTCCTTTCACAAGCCAACATACAGAACTATAAAAAATTTTAAAATAAAAAGAAAAGTTAAATTCAAAACCTATTATTTAAAATATCTAATAAATGATCTTAAACTAAAATAATATAAATAGATTATAAAAAATAAAAATTCAATAACAACATTAATTCACTTTTATTTATTAGACATTAAATTACATCACTTAGTGTTCTCTATAATTTACCTCGACTTTCAGTTATCTTGATGTATATTTATGAGAATTCTTATATTTAAAAATTCTAAAAAATTAATAAATACTTGTTGCAAAATAAAATCCTTACATTTGCCATTATAAAGCCCATCAGAGGATGAAACATGTCACCTAAGCTTTCCTTTTTTATATATATATATATATATATATATATATATATATATATATTCCATTTTAAACAGGCAATGAAAAAGTTTAATTCTTATTTAGACAATTACTTAATTCACTTGCAAAAGTCATATTTCTGTATTGTTTTTCTACAAAATTAATTATTTTATAAACTGGATAATTGAATTCAATTGTTCTTCAGTTTGTGTGTAATAACACGAACGGAAGAACAAATAGCAAATAACAGCAGCAATGAAAAAGTTCATTATATTAACAATATTTGTTTAATTTTTTTCGTAAATTTATTTATTTTTTTTTTTTTTTCCCAAACATATTGAATTCTGTTTCCAGAGAGTTGTCCCTCCAGTACTGAAAAATATGAAAACTGGAAATGATACAATTGAAGACTTTATAAAAGAATATGGTTACTTAGGCCAACCACTGCATGCTGCTGTTCTTCAAGAAAGACAGATTCCTGTATCTGTACCCAACATGCCACCTGCAGCTATCACCACTGCAAGTGTAAGTAACAGAATCTTATTTATTTTCTGATCATTTATTTAGAGGTAAAAATATTTTTGGTTCAATTCTCGGTACAAAATAAATTTCTGAAAACAAATTCATCTAACTTTTAAAAAATGAAATAATTTGATTACTTATTTGTAAAAAACAGAAAAACCAAATCCTTTCAAACCTCCTCAGGAATATAACAAGGGAGAAATTGATAGCCTCAATTTGTTTAATCTCTTTATAGAATATAATTTGCATAGATACAGGCACCAATGTGAAGAAATGGGTCTAGATCAGTTTTCTACCTTATTCCAAACAAATCTACTAATAGAAAACAGTGCTCTTATTTTCCCTGACAACAAGAGAGGTCATGCTGATGACATAGGCGTTCATAGTTGGTATAAGAATGATCTTGAACAAAAAATCAACATCCTTTACCAAGTGTTTCAAAAAGATAGTCTTAAGTTTTCTCAAATCAAAAACTATGATCTGGAATTGGAGTGAGAGTAGTTATGACACATACCCTGAATCCATCAGAAAAACTCATAATGTGGAATTAATAAATTCTAAACACTTCAAATACATCTATGTATGACTTTGTTATAACAAATTTAGTTTAGAACTTTAGAGGTAAGGAAATTGAACAGAGAATAGGTTGCACTAGGGGTACTTTTGTTCAACGCCATAAGATGTTACAAGGTCAAAATATTAATCTGAGAACTTAAGTCATGTTCTTAAATAGCCTTTTCAGGTCTAGATTTTCATTTTTGTGTCAAGGATGATGTTCAACTTGTTCAGAAATGTCTAAAATATCAGATATATTGTCATCCATTGACTGTTTCGCTGTTTCACTGCTCATCAGTGAGGCTAGACATTTGATCGTTTCAAGCTGGGCCCGAAACCTGACTGATGCCAAATCAGTTAAAGATTCTAACCTAGGCTATCGACGGCCAGCAGAGAGGCAAAATTTTACATATTTATTTTTTCATAAACACACCAGTGACCAAGAGAACTCAATCCAATTTGGAGAGTCTTGCATTATCAACAGTAGTAGTGACTGTTTACAAATTTGCGCTCTTCTCCCCACAGTGATCAACCAATTTAATTATTTTTTCGGCAGCTAAACACATTTTTTTCTCAGATTAATGATTAAAAATGGCTTTAAACAAAAGGATCTTTTGGGTCTTAAAGAAGACAATATTAGACCTTATAGATGGGTGCTACAGAATCACAAAGAATTCTACCAAATAACACAAACCACATCACTTGAAAACTTCCAACAGCAATGACAAAGAAAAAAGGGTAGCACATATAACTTGAAAATGATATAATCAAGATGTTGACTTTACACATCACCTTAAACAAAAGGTTAAAAAGGAAACAACCATCCATACTAGAAAGAGTGATAAGTTTTTTTCTGAAAAGCTGTTTTAGGAAAAAGTAACAGTAATGTTGTTTGGTTAGTGAATGTTTCCTGTATGAAAACTACTTTTACTTTAATAGGGCAGCATAGTAATTTCTGTATGCTAACCAATTATAGTTTGAATTCAAATCTTGATAGAGCTACTGATTAATAATTTTACTGTTAATATTTTCTTTTGATGTCAAAAATATATGAATTTGATTTTTTCTTTCAGGGAAGACAGCCCATCCTTATCCAATCTGGCAGCTCAACACAAACCAGTATGTGTACAAGTAGTACCAACACTCGCTTGGTTACACCTTCAAGTGGTGTTGGACGTACACAAGGCCAAGGACAAAACAAGTTGGTTATAGTGACTCCACAGTGCAGACCCACTGTAGCAGCATCTGTAGCTACTGGTTTCAACAGCACAGGTAGCAATACTTCCGCTTCAACTATTGTCAAACTGGTAACTACTCCCAGTACTAGCACTACCAGTACTGTTGTCGGAGCACCTCCTCAGAAGGTTGTTGTGGTCTCACTCTCTTCAGGAGCTAGTGCCACCACACAGGTGTGCACCTCCGTAATGCAGACTAGCAGTACAAGTACAACCGCAGCAATATCTACTGCTTCTCATGGTATGGGCATGAAGAGTGTTTTTAGCACTACATCAACAACAATAAAAAAAGAACCATCAACTCCTTGAGCATAAAAATATTTATATTGTTGGTATCTCTTGATTTTTTTATTGGTGTAAAAGTGTTAAGAAAAACTATTCAACATTAAGTTATGTGCCTTTCAGGAAGATAAACTCAAATGCTCAAATGTTATATTTCTCAAACATTTTTTATTTGCAAGTAAAAAGCTCTGTAATTAACTTTTTTCGTTTTTCAGAAACAACAGAATTTATTTAATATTATGAAATACTCAGTTATATACATAAGTTACAACAAATGTGAAAATTTTTCAAAAAAAGGCTATATCATAGTTATGTGTTTTTGATATGTTTTACTGTAATTTTAAAAGTAAAGTTAGTTTATGTACATATAAATTTGTGAAAAAAGAAAATATTGAAATATGATCGATAATTGCCTCCTTAAATACAGAAAGTGCTTAAAAAGAAAGTCTACAAATAAGATATGAATCTACAAAGGAAAAAATTTCCTATAGTCAAGCTCTTCTTGAATTAGACTACTATAATTATAATCTTGGCAAACTTAGTTCAAATTGACCAAAATTCTTAACTATTTTGATTGTGCTAATTTTTCATTATTTTAAGTTACTTCTAAATTTGATTTTTTTTTTTTTTTTTTTTTTTTTTTTTTGAATAATTTCTCATGTTTTCATACAATATGGAAGCAAATAAAAGCACCAAAATTAATTGCCAAAATCTTCCACTTGACAACTTTGATTATTTAAAATTAATAACATGTAATACCAATGTAGAAATAGAACAATTTTCAGACACTTTGCTATTGTCTATTTCTATAACATGTATAAGTGTACATGCTTACACACTAGAATAATTAAGTATTGCCACTTGATCTGAAATGATTAGTAATTAAAATTTAATAAGCTTTTCTTGCAAATGTAACTTGAAACAAGAGAAAGATGATCCAATGAAAGTATTTGAGTAATCCTCTGAAATGAAAGGACAGGCAGGATGGTGCACATTTGACAACTAGTATTAAGCTACTCACTTGAAAATAAGATTTGGTAAATGAAGGATTATGACCCTCAGTTTAAATCAGCATACAATCCAGTTATCTTACTAAACACCAAAGCTACATTTTTAACATAGCACTCTTTTAACATTTTTTCATGGTAAAGCATAGGCCATGAAATATGATGTTGTATTCCAAGTGCCTCATGCAGACTCATCAAGCAGGAAGGGTTATTTAAAACAAGAGAAAGATGTGTTCTGATGGTCAGTTCAAATTTTGAAAATCATTGACATTTACTTGGAATGAACATCACCAGCTGGGCTTAATTCTTTCAGTGAGAAAATTAAAAACGGAAATATTACTCTATAAAAAAGCAGAATATTTATTCAGTAAATTTGTTTTGATAATGAAAACAAAATTCCTGAATGCTGCATTTATTCACTTTTTTTTTTACTTATATAATCATTTTGCAGGTAATATTTAATTTAGAAATCATGTTTGTTTCTCTTTATTTTCTCATTCAAAAGTACAATCTTAGATTTGACAGAATTTATTATCAAATAAACAAATGTTGAAATTCTAAATCTGATTGAACAAAAATATATATCACAATTCCTTAAACTTTTTTTCAAAGTACTGTATATACTTGTATGTATAATTTTTATAGAAATTTGCCAGTATGGAATTGGGATCTGCTTTTATGCAAATGGTTACTATCTTTTTTCAGTATCCATGTACATTTGAACCCAGCAAACTTTTTTCTTTAACTTGTATCACTTGATTTTTTTTCCTTGAAAATTTAATATTAAAATTTATCTTAAATTTCAAAGATATATTTGTACATACTTGTACAAGAATTCCTCAAATAATGAAAACCTTCATGTCAAGATTTTTGTATAGATTAACCATCAAATATATTAAACAGTTTCCCTCCCTGATTAATTATTGATATTTTTTTATAATAGCTTTTATTGAATGAGTTTCAAACTACTACTATGAAAATTTAGTATCACTTTTCATTTTATAGAATGCCTTTATAGCATACTTTTCTTTGGGTTTTTTGCAATAACGCAAATCTATAGTATTAAGAAAATTCCTTTGTTCTTAGTTGCTATATCAGAAAATCTGGAACAAATTGAAATCTGTTGTTTAGTCTACAATTTTAGAGGCTAATGTAGTGGTATTAAAATTTTATCCTAAATCTTTTGAAGTTTGCTTTTTATTTACTAAGCTTATCTTAGAACAGCTCAAAACCAAATGTGGATAGATTGTATCAGATCATTCACATTTTTATTTATTTACATGAAATTTAACACTAACTACAAGTGTAAAATGAACAATTATTTCAACCATGAAAAAGGCATACATATTGAAGTAACTGACCTAATTATAATTTCTTCTGTTAAAATAAGAGTCCTGTGAAAAACCACTGTTTTGTTGGTATGTTCAAGGCTTCTTTCAGTGCTAATAAAATGACTTAATTTTAAGTGTTTGAATCCAAAAACCTAGAAATGCTATGAAGTTGAAATTATCAGAACATATTTTGTTAAAAAAAAATTGTATACTGTTCATTTTTAAAAATTTCATGTTTAATTTGAATTCCAAATTTTATCCTTATATTTGGAAACCACTTATTTTAAAATTCATTTATACATAAGACCAGTTTTTTTCTATTGTTCATATTCAACAATAATTGAAAAATACTATTGATATAATAGTTATCCTATATTTATAGTCTATGGGTATTGGTGTAAAACTGACCAGTTTTACATTGAATATTAGTATCTTTGATAAGAAATTTTATTTATTTATTAAGAAAATTGTGTTTACATAAATGAGTGCTGAAAGTTCTCAGTTCAAACAAGAAAAATTACCTCAAGTCATGAAAAGTACTTGCGATATTCCATGTATTGAGATGAACAAACATGGCATGTCAGTCCTCAAGTTTCTTTAACCATTCCCCTTAAAATTATAATGCTTGGTCATTGAAATACTGACTCAGGGAAATGGATTAAGCAGAGAACTTTTCAACATATCTTATTCTAATACTTACATTCAGAAGACTAAATGTCAAATTAGAAAAATTTTCTTTCGCAGTTGATTCCCTTTTCATGTCACTATGACAATCAGATATCATTAACTGCCATGGTCATGCTATCATGCATTCATTGGGAATTTTACAGTGGTTTAACATTAGTCTTCTTATTAAAACATTTTTTTTTTTATGTATGGTGGATTTGTATGACAGGGGATTGTGAGATACACTTTTATAAAAATCTTTAAAAAAATTCATTGCTATTTTAAGAATCTTTATCTAATATGCAATTTGCTTACCTCATTCTTTTCATTAATGTTTTTATTTTGTATTTTTTATTCTATAATCTTGCATTGATTAATTTTTTCTCACTATTTTTTTCTTTCATCTTATATTGCGTTTATCACAATCAATAAGGCATTGTCCATATTAGATGAATTCCCAAGCATACAGGATGTGAATTAAAACATTTATTTCCATTACCATACAGCATACAGCTTGCTTAATGAATACAGCATTACAGTAAAAACAGCAAGAATAAGATGAAAGAAAAAAACTAGTCAAAAATTGATAATGCTTAATTTAAGAAATTTTCATGACTTACCTCAGGTTAGCAAGCTAGTCTGGTTAATTATTACTACTGTGTAAGGAGTTTGATCCTGACTGGGTGCTCTATACTTGTAGCCTTGTGCCAAGCTAAGCTTAGTAAACAACTTAAGAATATTACTTTGATTTTTAAATGACCAAAACTCACATTTTTCAGCATTAAGCAATCAAAGTTTATCCACATAATTTATTGACTTTTCAGTTTCACTGGTTATATTCATCTTTTTCATCACCATTGCTTTTTTGTGTATGCCCTATTTAAGTTGGTGCTACTGAACTTATTGACTTGATCCAGTTCTTTAAAAAGTCATACAAACTAAAATCCTATTTCTATAATTGTAACTATGTAAATGAAACTTTGATTTGAGCATTTTTAGATTTTTTTTTTTTTTTTAATTGAAAAAAAATTGTATATTTTTCTAAATAAACTATGTAAATGTTAACAGATTCTTAAAACACTTTTCTTTTTAATTTGTTTATTTTGTATATATATCTGTTTGTTTTGCCAAGATTCCTGGATTACACTCAACTAAATTTTTCATGTTGTCTACATGTCAAAGCTCTTGAACAAAGAATGTAGAGAGAATTGCATTCTTTACATATGAGATTTGAGCCAAAAATTATCTTTAAAGAAAAGACCAAAATTATCTTTAAAGAAAAGACCAAAATTATCTTTAAAGAAAAGACCAAAATTATCTTTAAAGAAAAGACCAAAATTATCTTTAAAGAAAAGACCAAAATTATCTTTAAAGAAAAGACAATATATCCAACATCTTCTGATGCTTAAATCTTTTTTGTATCTTAACTATTTTTATCTTTCAGTTGATCTGTTCTTTAGTCATTGTTGGGTATAATCTAAGAAAAAGGAAACTTCTAACCCAAACAGATAAAGAAATTGTTTTCTAATATATCCATTGGACTGGTCTATTTTTACAGCAATAGGTACACTGAATATCCAATTGATTCTCAACTTCACCTAAGGGTTGATCTTCTCCAATCCTAAATTTGCTAAACAAAGAAAACAAGTGTTGAATTTCATACTAACCTGATTCATGCCCAGGTTTGTTGTTAGCATATTGTCCCACAAACAGATATTGAATGACGGAAGACAACATCAAACAAAATGAAGACTTGAATGAAAAAAATATATAGCCAAGTTTATTTTCATTAAAGATACATTGACAAAAATAAGGTTACAGTTATAATGTTATATGCAAAAATATCCCTATATGTTCATGTAGAGGATGAGAATGTGTTGTCATAAAAAGGACAGTTTGTTGTCAATGAAGAGCGTTTCATTTATGACTTTTTTGTGCTTCTCAAGTTTGATTTTAATTGGACAACTATTTATCACCTTCTATACCATACTATGTATACAAGTTTTTTGTTAATTTTTTTTTC